AGAGAGAGGAGGAAGAGGAGGAGGCGGAGACGCGGGCAGGTGTTCCAAGGGCTACAGGGGAAGGACCGCAAGCGCTTCTCCCATAGATTTGTAGTGGTTGACTAGCATAGATGGTCTGATCTGTGGGTTTACTTCGGGCGCTATTTCCCCTCCCCCTTCCTCCCGCCCCACCTGATGGAACTGAGAGCTGCAGATGGAGCACGAGAGAAAAGATACAGAACTGCAGCAGCATCTTCGTAGCTTGGACTTCGTTTTGCGCGAAAAGTGGTTGCTGCTTGTAGTTATTTAATTGCAGTGTTTCATCGGCTGGTGTCTTGAGCAGCAACCTCTGGAAACGAAGGGTTAAAAACCGGCGCTGCTTTCCCAAATTATCTGGTCCCTTTTAACTTTGTATTTCAGCTGGTTGACTAAAATCCCTTATTTTGGCTGCTGATCCCTTATTTTCGAGGCTGATGGTCCCTTATTTTCAAATCTGTAACTTGACAGCTATGCCGTTCTTGCAGTTGCTGCCCACATGACTGTGGGAAACCGACAAGCAGGACTTGAGCATGAGAGCGCCATCTCCCCTCCTTTGGCCTCCAGCGACTGGGATTCAAAAGCATGACCACCTCTGACTGCAGGCAGCAGATTAAGGAAGGCTAAGGAATAGCCAAAGGTGCCCAGTTTGGTCATCTTGGTTCTGAGAATCTCAACTCTGGCACTCCCACCTTGACGTTAGCCGAAGTTTGCTTTGTAGGATTATTGGCCAGCTTGTTCTTTCCAGACTCTCAAGCAACGATGTGCTCTTTCAAGCCAGCATGTTCTCACTCCTCAACGACATCTAGGTAAAAGGTAAAAAGGTAAAGGACCCCTGGACGGTTAAGTTCAGTCAAAGACGACTATGGGGTTGCGGCGCTCATCTCGTTTTCAGGCCGAGGGAGCCGGTGTTTGTCAGCAGACAGCTTCTGGTGCAACAGGACACCATGACAGAAGCCAGAGCGCACAGAAACGCCATTTACCTTCCCGCCACAGCGGTGCCTATTTATCTACTTGCGCTGGCGTGCTTTTGAAGTGCTAGGTTGGCAGGAGCTGGGACAGAGCAACGGGAACTCACTCCGTCGCAGGGATTTGAACCACTGACCTTCTGATCGGCAAGCCCAAGAGCATACAGAAAGCCGCAGGCTCAGTCCTCAGCATCTGCTGGTAGGACCAGGAAAGACTCCCAGTCTGAAACCCTGATGAGCTGCTGCCAGTCAGAGTAGACAATTGAGTTCAATAGCTCATTGGTCCGATTTGGTGTAAGGTAGCCTTTCCTCATCTGATGCCCTGCAGACATTGCCTGACTACAGTCCCCATCAGTCCAAGCTGGTGCAGCTGTGTTGGCTCCAGCAGAGGGGAGCTGAAGCCCAAGATACCTGGAGGGGGTCAGATTGGAGTGTTGTTGTGTAGTCGTCTAGTCATGTCCGACTCTTTGTGACCTCCTGGACCAGAGCACACCAGGCACTCCTGTCTTCCACTGCCTCACGCAGTTTGGTCAGACTCATGTTTGTAGCTTCGAGAACACTGTCCAACCATCTAGTCATCTTTCGTCCCCTTCTCCTTGTGCCCTCCATCTTTCCCAACATCAGGGTCTTTTTCAGGGAGTCTTCTCTTCTCATGAGGTGGCCAAAGTATTGGAGCCTCAGCTTCACGATCTGTCCTTCCAGTGAGCACTCAGGGCTGATTTCCTTCAGAATGGATCGGTTTGATCTTCTTGCAGTCCGTGGGACTCTCGAGAGTCTCCTCCAGCACCATAATTCAAAAGCATCAATTCTTCGGCAATCAGCCTTCTTTATGGTCCAGCTCTCACTTCCATACATCACTACTGGGAAAACCATAGCTTTAACTATACAGACCTTTGTTGGGAAGGTGATGTCTCTGCTTTTTAAGATACTGTCTCGCTTTGTCATTGCTTTCCTTCCAAGAAGCAGGCGTCTTTTAATTTCGTAACTGCTGTCACCATCTGCAGTGATCATGGAGCCCAAGAAAGTAAAATCTCTCACTGCCTCCATTTCTTCCCCTTCTATTTGCAGGAGGTGATAGGACCTCCTATTTTTTTTGATGTTGAGCTTCAAACCATATTTTGCGGTCTCCTCTTTCAGATTGGAGTAAACTGGTTCAAAAGGAGGCAGTGCAAAGGGGAAAGGACCCCTTGCCATCTTTGCAGGACCTGACGTGATGCAACTCCAAGTTTCAGCGCTGCTCACAAAATGGTACCGCAGCAAACGGCTTTGAAGAGTAAGTTCTGGTGACAGCAAGTTCTGGCTTCTCTCAATTTTGAACCCGGAAATCGTCTGCTTTCTGCAGACAGGAATGATTGCAGGTGGGGATATTGAACAAAAACATGTGAACAGAACAGAACCCCAGAATGGAGAAGGCTGGTGCAGCGATGGTTGTATGACTGAGTTTAAAGGAACCATCCACAACATCCTCCGTTAGTATTGATGTTTGTGGCCAAGCCGAGTAAAGGAACATCTATAACAGCATTAGAACTTTATTTTAAAAGTGTGTGTGTGTGTGTGTGTGTGTGTGTGTGTGTACGACCATAGGAAGTTTTGAAGTACTCTTCTGATGCGATTTGCAGACATACGATGATGCCAAACGCTTCTTGCTTGCCATTCTGAAATCTTTCACAAATGGACTAAATCCCCTCCTTTTTTTACAGAATGATTTGTAATACTGGTGAGCGGAACCACTGCTTTAAAAAAAACAACACACCAGCAATGCTGGCACTTAAGATTCAGAGGTATCAGAGAGGTATGTTTGGAATCCACATCACAGCTCGCAAAAAATGGCAGCTGTACAGCTAGTGCCTTCCTTCTCCGTTGTCCACCGAACGCTTTGTGCCTCTGCCATGGCCAGCGAAGAGAGCGATGCAAGGGAACAAAGCAGGCGTTTTCCCAGAATGCTTTGGGAAAGCTTGGCATGCCATCCCTCGCTCCTTTATCACAATAATACTGAGCTTGTATGTATTCACGCCCCCAAAAAAACCATAAAAAACTACAGCGCTATAAATCAGGCAGTACTTATTGGGCCTCAAGACCTTCAAAAAGGTTTGCAGGAAGATCCTTGCGGCTTGAAGTGTTAAGTGCAGGCCTGAGAGAAAAGACCTTTTGTAAGATGCACTAAAAACACAGGCCAGTCATCTCCTTGGGGGCGAGCCAAGTGGGATGGTTTGGTCCCAATAGTACGACCGGTGTGCGTCTTTGCCACGACAAACTGCCCTCATGTGCATACGCTGCGACTCAAAATGTTTTATTTGTATTTTACCCAGCCTCAAGGCATGAAAATCACAGGTATGCCCAGCCCCAGCTGCTCCCCCCCATCATCTTGTTTGCCCTACAGAAAGGAGAAGGGATCCAGTTCTAAACCAGAGGGAGCGAGAGGTGATTGAGAGATGCTCCATGGCATACTAAATCTGCCTTGCTGGCAACTCTTTATAAAGATGCACATGTACAAAAAAAAAATTAGGAAACTTCCCTAAAGTATTTCCGAGAGGTATTTTCTGTTTAAAGCAGAAACAGAAAAGTTCCATGCCACTTCTGAGAAAGGGAAGGAGTTAAAACATTGCCTGTGAATGTATGGGTTGTATTAAGCACATTGGATTTGGCTCACAGTTTGTGTATACATGATTCTAGAGTTAATAAAATGAAGACTGCATGTTGTCTTGCTACGTTCTGAACAAAGAGGCCCTGCTAACAGTTTCATGGGGCTTTTAGATCTCACCAGAAAGAACTAAGTCAAAGTGTAATCAGTTGTATTCCCTTAGGAGCACTGTGAAAACTGTGAGGATACTACACAGATTTAAGTCAGTTACTGGAGGGTTCAGCACTGCTCTTCATCTATACACACTGCTAACATGTGTGTGTCACGATTCTTTTAACACCCATGTAACATGCACAAGTCGTCTGTGCAAAGCTTTCCCCATCATGGCATCTGCAAAGAAGGGGAAAGGTTCCGCTGCTGAACTTCAGTGCATCAAGCCGCTGTCAAAGCTTCAGGAACTCTTTGTGGGATGTAATTCATTGATACAGTCAAATGCAACACTCCTTATTTCCCTAGAGTGGGTTGCTGATATTTTGCTGCCATGCTGCTCTCCTGCAGCCATTTTGTTATCTTAATGTAGTCTTGCTGTCTCCTGGCTCTCAGCCAGCAACACATGAGTTCAGCCTCCATATGAGACAAACCCAGACTTCGTTATGTAATTATTAAGCAAAGCCTGCATTTCAGGAATCAAACCGTGAACTGAAATGTGAGTAAACTTTTTGTTACTTTACTCAGAAGGACTCTTGTGTCTTTATTCTTTTGAGGGGGATTAAAGGGGACACCAGGAAATAATCTTAACTAAGAGATTCAAACGAATCTGCAAACCAGCTTCCAGCTATATTGCAGGGAATCTGCTCTGCTACATCACTTACTAGTGTGAGTGAAGGACGGATAATACTTATCCAATATTTCCTTTCCTACTGTCTTTAACATTTCCACACTCTTCCAGGGGGGAAAGGGAGTGGGGCAACCCTGCAAGCTGTCACCTGTCCCACAGGTACACTAAGCCTCATCACTATGTTTCATCAGGATCATGCTGCAGAGATGTGCACAAGCCTATCAGCGGAAGGAAAAGGAGGCAGCGAGACGGGGGCCGCTGGCGGCTACTGGGAGCAAGGAAAGGCATGGCGAGAAAGGAAAGGGAAAAGAGAAAGGAAGAGCAAGGAGACTTGCTCAGCTGAACAGAGATGCCAGCCATAGAATGAGAGCTCTGCCTCAGGAACATCAGGGGCAGACGTTTCCTGATGCTTTCCCAAGTTTCCTCAAGCAAAACTTTACATCTGTGGCGGTTGTCATTTTGAGAGAGCACAAAGCGGTTTTAAGGAACGCCCATCTACAAAAAGCCTCTGTTCCCTTCTCTCCACTGGGTAACCGTAAGGTTTCAGGTTGCAGCACGGGCAAAGGAATCCACTTTGGGTGTTCTGAAATACAAGTCATTATTTTTGAACCAGTGCTGAAAACGTATTTATTTGTTTTTATTTATTTAATTCATTCAGAAGACAGCAAGTCAGAAAGACTGGCCACGTGGCGTTCCGATGAACAGGCAATAGGAAGTGCTTTTGCAGAATCTAAATTTCTGGAGGCTGTTTATTTTACACGGAAGAAGAAAAGAGGACAAATGGAAAGGACCAGTTTAAGTTACACCTGGACATTTTTCTACCAAGAGCTCGCTCTCTCTCTCTAGCCCCCTCCCCAATCCAGCCCCCACCCCACCCTCAGAAAAAGCTGCCACTATGCTCTCTAGGAGGCCAAGTCCCAGCAAACACTTGGGTTTTGCTTCTTCCGTGCTCTCAGCTGAAGTGGCGGCCGAGGCGAGCGGATCTGTAGTCAAGGCGGAGCTGTACAAAGGAATGGAGGATGTTCTTGTCCAGAATAGCAAGCTGCTCTCCTGAGCAGACCTGCTTCAAGTTATCCGGAGCGACGACAAGGAGGTTGCAAAGGGAGTGGAGAGTGTCAAAAAGCTGCAGTACCAGTGCAATCTGTAGCAATGGGGGGAAAGCAAAGCAAGATCAATTTAAATACCCAACGGTGCTTTTCAGATACACCACAGGCCTAGAGATTATAGTGGTACATTGATTTTCAAAAGCCTCTGTAGTCGAACGTTTTGGAACTCGGACATCAAAAACCCGGAAGTAAATGCCTTGGTTTTTGAACACATCTCAGAAGTCAAACAGAAAACACGGCTTCCGATTTGAGTTTTCCGTATTGAGCAGGCATAGGCAAACTAAGCCCTCCAGATGTTTTGGGACTACAACTCCCATCATCCCTAGCTAATAGGACCAGTGGTCAGGGATGATGGGAGTTGTAGTCCCAAAAACATCTGGAGGGCCGAGTTTGCCTATGCCTGGTATTGAGGCTTCTATTTTGAGGCTTCCGCTTTCAGTTTTTGAACGTTTCAGAACTTGAACGGATTACATTCGAAAACTGAGGTACCACTATATTAGCAAAACATTATTTGCATAATGCACCCAATGCACAGATATTTTTCTCACCTTTGTTCATGAACGCAACAAACCTTTGAGGCTGACAGTTTGACTATTCCCATTTTACAAATAGGTAAATCCCATTTTAACATTAGGCCACCCAGTCAAATACAACGACAAGGTCCTGCATCTCAAATTGCATTGGGCATGCCTATTGGCCACATACCTTGAACTCTTTGGCACATTTCCGGTATTCAGCCACATCGCAAATTGCCAACATGCCACCCATGCAGCTGTAGGAATATTGTTGCAGGTGCTCATAGATGAGTCGGTGGAAGCGAACTCCAAACTCTGTCAGAACACCGTCCACGTTCTTGCCATCCATAGAATTCCTGATCTTTTCCACTTGCTTTCTGACATAGATGCAGACTTTGGCACAGGCCTGGAAAGTAAGCAGGAAAGTTAGGAGGAGAAAAAGAAAAGGGCTCTGTCAGGCTTGACAGCCACTCAGGGTGGAAATGGTGTGTGTGTGTGTGTGTGTGTGTGTGTGTGTGTGTGTTGGGTTTCTGAACTGACGACTGGGGAAAGGTGACACCTCACATACTGTGTTCATACAACATTTTTCAACTGAATAAAGAACAGACACTTCACTCTTTCGCAAACTTCTCAGCTGCCCTCTTGGAAGAAAATGAGTTCAATACTTTTAGATGGTATTCCTGGGATGTGAAACTCCCAGGAACTGCAGCAAAATACAGGTTGCATTCTTGTGCCCACTTATCTGAGAGTAAACCCCATTTAACTCAATGGGATTCACTCATAAGGGAAAATTTCTAGAATTGGCTTGTAATCCCTGCTTATCACTATATTACACTTGTTTAAAGTGAAAAAAATATTGGTGATGTGGCCGTTATTTGAAGTGACTAAAGTACAAGAATCATACTTGTGATTTAATCATTTTTTCCAGTCTGTCTGACAAGTAGTTCTGAGTAACCCAGAAGTTTGCATGCAGAGAGAGATGCTGATGCAACAAAAAGGTTCACTACATCTATTTCATGCCTCTTATTTTAAAAAGCATTCAAATATCCCAGTGGAAGTACCTGAAAGTAAATTCCACTGATGTTACTCAAACGGTAATATTAAGTAAGCCGCAGTAGTGGTCTTGATGTGCACCCATCTCTCTCTCTCTCAGGCACTCACACTTCAGATGAATAAATAGAATAACAGAATCGTAATGCTGGAAGGGACTCCAAGGGTCATCTAGTCCAACCCCCTGCAATGCTGGAATATCAACCGAAGCATCCCTGACAGACGGCCATCCAACCTCTGCTTAGAAACCTCCAAGGAAGGAGAGACCACAACCTCCTGAGGGAGACCGTTCCACTGTCAAACAGCTCTTACTATCAGAAAGTTCGTCCTGATGTCTAGTCAGAATCTCTCGTAACTTGAATCCATGTGCTACAATTATCCCAATACTTTGGCTGCTACTAAAGCCAGTCAAGGTTCTGGAGTTATACTGTCCTTATACAGTGGTACCTCGGGTTAAGTACTTAATTCGTTCCAGAGGTCCATTCTTAACCTGAAACTGTTCTTAACCTGAAGCACCACTTTAGCTAATGGGGCCTCCCGCTGCTGCTGTGCCGCCGCTGCGCGATTTCTGTTCTCATCCTGAAGCAAAGTTCTTAACCCGAGGTAATATTTCTGAGTTAGCGGAGTCTGTAACCTGAAACGTATGTAACCTGAAGCGTATGTAACACAAGGTACCACTGTATTATGTAAGGCCTTCAAATGTGGTCGCAAAAGGTGCACCGCTATTAAAATAAGTTCCCTGGTAATTTAGGCATCATTCATTTTGAGCATTTTGCTCCATGTGCAACATTTGGATTTCTTCATACACTGTGGCTCTGTTGGTGGCAACCACGGAGATCTGGGAGCCTGAAGGGCACAGTAAGGAATGTATTCATTTTTACTCTGTGCTTTTTGAACGTGGCACACTTCAGCTGGGGTGCTGGGAGCTACTCCGCAGGGTGGGAGGGTGGGTTTGGCTGCTGGTGCGGTATAAATGCTAAATTGCAGTCATCAATACAGCGTAGCTTAGTACATAAGAGGATACAGCCTTATTGCAGGGGGCTGGGCTAAACTATCTGCCAGCCTCACCCCACTCTATGCTTCCACATTCTTATGATTTCTATACAGCACAACAGGACACCAATGACTAAAAACGCTGAGCATTTAGGAAGCGCTATTGTTCTCGCCCAGGCTGAAATCGCACAATGGAAATGCATCAGAATTCCTAGAAGAGTGAAGAAAACTTGATGATTAAGGGAGGCGCATGTGTGATAAAATGCATATGCTGAGCAGAGTCAGCAGGGAAGAACGCCAGCGGCAGTCCAATTACTTGCCGTGTCACTTGTCATTGACTAATCTATATATAGTTACTCACATTAGTGTACTGAATCAGAACATTGTTCTCATCTTCTGGTTTGAAATCGGTCTTCCTTTGTTCCGCCGCCAAGATGTGCTTCATCTGCCCAATCATGCAATTCAGCGTCCTTCAAAGTTAAAATACCAGGTGGCTGTTTTAAAGTTAGCGTTTTGAGCCCCACAAAGCCCAAGCCAACACGATCCTCTTCTCAAAGCGACCGCTAACTTGCGGTGAAGTGTGCCATCGCAGGCCTATTCCCCTGGGCTTCCAGAAATGGTGGGCCGCTAAAGAGCAGCAGAGGCGATTTAAAACTTCACTCTTAAAATTGGAGATTAACACGCACGTTATTTATATAACACCATCTCGATACTCTGCACTTCACAAAGCACCAGCATGGCTGTCCCTTCCTCCAAGGGACTTGCAATCAGAACTAGGCACTGGGATGGAGGGATGGCTAGACACAGGTCCACAATTCTCCCCACCCCTAAATTTTCATTATTTGCCAGAATAATGAACTGTCCCAAACCACGAACAGTTGATGCAAAAGGGGAAACTGACTGATGGTCCAGAAAGGTGATAGAACCTTCACTTGCCTGTCGATGCCCATGTCCAGCTTCACCTCCATTTGTTCTGTGACGTCCTTTTTCTTCTGAAGACATTCAGAGAGCTTGGGAGAAGAGCTGTGATAAATGGAGGGAGGGGAAGTCGTTAGCTACCATTCTCTGCCACACACACATCTACTCCAAGCACCCTCGATCCCAGGGCCCTTGAATCTGCAAGGGTTTCCCAGTTCGTCCACCCTGTCATTTTCGCCTCTCGTGAAAGAGGCCTCCTAGTCGCAGTTATGTGTGGAACAAGCTACGTGGGAGAGAGAACCTGGCCATGCAACTGTTGGGGGTGCAGTGTGGAGGCAAGTATGGAAAAGTATTACATATGCAGAAGAATATCCAAAGAGCCCAGCTGGATCAGATAAAAGGGAGCCCACCTCTTTCTTGCAGTGACCAACCAGGTGTCTATGGGAAGCCCAGCAGAAGACCTGAGAGCCAAAGGCCTCTCCTATTGCTGTTCCCCAGTGACTGTCATTCAGAGTTAGCCCACAGCCACCATGTCTAATAGCCACTGATGCCTTTTATCACTCATGTAATGCCATTCTTGGGCTTCGGTAGCCAACAGAATACTGAAAATCTCAATTTGCAAGTTAACTAACTTAATTTGGAAAAAAATGCAAAATAAGGTTTTTAAACCTCCAGAGGATTACATGGAAATATGTGATCTCTCAGAAGTCAGTATGGGGGCTTCCAGTAGGTCAGGGTGCAAGAAATCCCACAGTGTCTGCCTCCATGTCCTGCTTATTCTGGAGCTTTTATGTGGCCCCAGACAGGAGATGATTCTAGCATAACACTTTTTGCCCCTACGAAGGAACATTTATGAGTCAGAATGCAAACTCTACATGGCTTCTTGGCCTGAAGACACAACAGGTAACCTACCTAACCAATGGCATCAGATGATCATTGAACTGCTTGTCAAAGAGGTGAAAAATGGTATTAGCCTGGTTCACGACATCCAGGAAGTAAAGATTTGCAGTCTTGGCATCTGGAGAAGGAATTCCTAGAGGCAAGCAAATAATGAAACCAGCAAAAACTTTTGAATGAGTCTAAAGAAACAATCCATCCAACAAGCCTCAGGAATCCTGAGAACCAGTTAGCAGAATCGCCAGAGATAACAAGGACACTGACTTTAAGCTGTATGAAGGTTAAGTGTTTGATATTTTCATTTCTTTAAAAGCTGAAAATGGGACTACTCCAATCAATCTCATCGGCGTTGCTTCTAAATTATATACATATCAGCAATTTTAAGAATGGCGTTTACATTACATTTTGTTTCTTTGTTACGATGCTATTTTGTTTGGAGCCTAAACTGCTAGGGCAAGTTACATCAGAATACTGCAGCCTCAAACTTTCCATAAATGTATGGTTTCAAAGAAGGGTCACATATTTTAGCTACATTCCAGTGCAATATTTAACGGGAATAAAGGCAGTATTGCACTTACCAGCCAACCCAATTTCCAGAGCATAATCAATGTGCTCGATGCATAAGAACTCCACAAGCAAAGAGAAAATTCTGAAGGCGTTTTTCGGCAGATCTGAAGGGTCAGAAAGCTTTAAAAGTGGAAAGAGCTTGTTAGGACCTTTCTGGCACTGAGATGTGAAAAATTATATGCAAACTATTTTAAACACAGACCACTTTGCACGGATTCATGCAAAGACCAACCAAAACCACGTAATTATGAAGAGTTGGAGCAACTTGCAAGTGACAAGTTTTTGTTGGCCATCCTAAGGACTAGGGCTGGGTGATATCTGGTTTTCAACATCCTGATATATCACCAGCTAAGCATCACTATGTGTGAAATAAGGATGGAGCTATGCAGAGGCCCAGGCTGACTTCACAGTTTTTCCCACATCGTGATTTTTGCTGGCGCCTGTTCTTGTCATCTGCTGCCCCCTGCAGGAGGCAGGGAGAGCTGAGCCAGCAGAGTAAACAGCGGCTGCGGGAATCGAGAGAAGCATTGGCCGGCTCCATGTCTTTTCCCACACTGTGATTTTTGCACAGCGTACACACATATCATGATTTGCCATATACTGCCAGGTCAAAAATTATGGTATCACGATATGGACTTCAAACCGCTTTTGGACGATATATCACCCAACCCTACTAAGGACCCCTACCTTTATTTCCTGAAAAGGAAGTTCTGAAAATGAAGGGGTGGGGTACTGAGGGCCACTGCCTTGTAAGCAACACGCCAATTGTGGGTGGGGCCAGTAGCAGGCAGAGCAATGATTGGAAAACGTTGCCCTTGTATAGTGCAATAGGTTTTTTGCACAGGTCTCTCTCTATTCCCCTTTTAGACAAGCAAGAGGTGTGATCAGAGTTCAAGGACACATTCCAGACAGGTAAAAACGCTGAGGGAAGGTGTGAAGGAACTCTGGGTGAGGGGAGAGTTCCCTGGGCTGGATAGAGAGGCCTGGGAGGTGCATTCTGCCCTGGGCCCAGGGTTCCCCACTCCTGTGAATCCGCCTTCTGGGCCCCTCGCAGCTCCTTGCATCTTTCACGAAACAACCCTTCCTACTGCGCCTCTTGCCCTTCTCGCCCTCTCTCCAGTGCTATCGTCCTTTCCCCCAACAACTTCTGAAAATGCTGTTGGAAGCTGGGTGAAATGGAGGAGAGCAACCAAACACGGAAGTGAGATTAGCAATCTGGACTGAAGGCACATCTATAATTCCAAGGGAAGGTGGGGCGGAAAAAACACTATCGTACTGCAAAAGGGAATCCAGAAGGGGGAACTACGGTCTTGCCGCTCCCGTCAATTTCACTCTAGTCCCAACAGCAAAACTTTATTAATGAATATACTCAGAGATGTCTGAAAGTCAAGAGAGAGGGTGTTGTTGAATCTCTGCTGGAACAGCATCCCGAAGCATGTCACCAGCAGCATTGAATTATTATTATTATTATTATTATTATTATTATTATTATTATTACATTTAAATACCACCCTATACCCACAGGTAAATGCCCAGCTACTAGTTGAAGCTCCCCCAGATTATCTCAGGGACTGAGCTAGGATATAGGAGCTCAGGAAGAAACACTTATCTCATGCATCTCTATGCCACTTTTCTACTAAAAAAAGTTTTCAAAAACAGCATAAGAACTAAGATAATTTTTTAAAAAACTATTAGAAGATGTAAAAACAGCAAAATGGGAGCACTCACTCAGAAAATGTTTGTGTCCACACAGCAACACTCACAGTGTATACTGATAAACCATTAGAGATAGCCTAAAATAATTCTATTAATAAGTGTACACACCCTGTGGCACCTTTCAAAGGCTTGCTTAGTTTCTTGCAAAAGATTAACCACCACATCCTGGGACAGGAAAGTTTCGCCGTGGGTGTCAATACTGGGTCCCAAGGGCAGGTTTGTCCGCTGCCGTATTCGCTCTTTGAATTCTTGAATGCTAGAAAGAGATGCACCAAGCAGGAACCATTAATCCCAGTGAAGTCTGGTTATGCAAACCGGGGTTAACCTTTCAGCCACATGAAGAACAATGCTAGACATTTTAAATAAAGAATGCAAATTCCTCAGATTTTTGAAGAAAAACAACAAATGCCACACCATCAATATGAAAGAATCGGAGACAGGCAACTCATATGAAGAAAGTTAAAGCTGGTACAGCAGAGGCAAGCCTGCCTGTGGGATGCAGAACCATTTATTTTGTCCTGCCATTTTGTCCTGTTTTGCAGTGTTTCAAAACCAGCAAAGCCCATTGGACCAGGAATAATAATAGGGCAAAAGGTATGCATGTGTCCACCACAGGGAATGCCTTCTCCCTCGTGCTGCCTCCAACACTCTCTTAAAAGCTACTGCTTATGCCAGGTTAGCACAGCCAGGAAACAGAGAGGTGGTCTTGGTGGCTATTAGCTACAGCAAGGAAACAACCTTCTGCTGGAGTATCACTATGGGCTGGACAAAATCCTTCAGGCATCCACAGGCAACGCGTATATTGTAAACCTATGGGGTATCCATGGTATACAGCTGGCAATTTCTCCTGCCAACCTAGCAGTTTGAAAGCACACCAGTGTGAGTAGATATATAGGTACCACTGCGGCAGGAAGGTAAACTGTGTTGCCATGTGCTCTGGTTTCTGCCTCCGTTTATTTCACACAACAAACATCCCTGCAAAGTTTTTAGCTTGGTTTTGTGACTGCATTATTAAGACATGCAAGCAACCATTACAGCAGATAGCAAACAAAATTATAAATGTGTGCATAAAAGGTAAAGGTAAAGGGATTCCTGACTATTAGGTCCAGTCGTGACCGACTCTGGGGTTGTGGCGCTCATCTCGCTTTATTGGCTGAGGGAGCCGGCGTACAGCTTCCGGGTCATGTGGCCAGCATGACTAAGCCGCTTCTGGCAAACCAGAGCAGCTCACAGAAACGCTGTTTACCTTCCCGCCGGAGCGGTACCTATTTATCTACCTGCACTTTGATGTGCTTTCAAACTGCTAGGTTGGCAGGAGCAGGGACCGAGCAACGGGAGCTCACCCCGTCGCGGGGATTCGAACCGCCGACCTTCTGATCGGCAAGCCCTAGGCTCTGTGGTTTAACCCACAGCACCACCCGCATCCCTAATGTGTGCATACCCAGTATCTTAAACAAAAGACTTGTCCTTAATGCGGATTTGAGAATACTGCAAATTTAAAGAAAGAAAGAAAGAAAGAAAGAAAGAAAGAAAGAAAGAAAGAAGCACAGTAAAGAAGACTGGAAGCCAAACCTTACCCTCCACTTCCAATGGCTCTCTTTTGGTGGTTTTTCGACTCATAATAGCGCTGCAAAATCATGGAGCTCCTGCTTCTCAAATAACCAATTTCCACCTCGATGTAATTCTCCAAGTAGGAAACGAAGATGGATTTGATAAGCTTAGACAAGAAAGTCTGCTTATCAGTGCCCAAGTTAAACTCCATCAATTTGCTCGAAAGATTAGTAGTCCTTTATGTTAAGGAAGGGAGAGAGGAGAGGGAGCAAGAAGGAAAGAAGGAATGCATTAGCAGGAGGTAACATTAAGGTATAAAGTATTTGCAGTGTTCACTAAGGGATTGGAGTGAGGGGTCTGGGCACAGCAAACGCTACAGCACTGCCAAGGCTAAGCAAGTGTGGACCTGGTCTACAGATTCAGGTAGGTTGGTCTGACACAGTCAAAATAAATTTTAAAAATTTCCAGTAGCACCTTAGAGACCAACTAAGTTTGTTCTGGGTATAAGCTTTCGTTTGCATGCACACTTCTTCAGATACACTGAAGCAGAAGTCACCAGACCCATATACCGTATTTTTCGCTCTATAAGACGCACCAGACCATAAGACGCACCTAGTTTTTGGAGGAGGAAAACAAGAAAAAATAATATTCTGAATGTCAGAAGCCAGAACAGCAAGAGGGATCGCTGCACAGTGAAAGCAGCAATCCCTCTTGCTGTTCTGGCTTCTGGGATAGCTGCGCAGCCTGTATTCGCTCCATAAGACGCACACACATTTCCCCTTACTTTTTGGGACGGAAAAAGTGAGTCTTATAGAGCAAAAAATACGGCATATAGTGGGAGGGTGGGGTTTTTCTCAGGAGGGTAGAAGGAGATGGGTGATTGACTCAATGGGTATGGTAAAGCTGTTGAAGACTGTTAACGACTGCAATTAGTCCTACAGAAAAAAGCAAGGGATCGTATGCAGATGACCAAAAATAGCTTTAGCATATGTAATGAGACAAGTCGTTAACAGTCGTCAACAGGTTTACCATACCCATTGAGTCAATAACCCATCTCCTACTACCCTTCTGAGAAAAACCCCACCCCACCCTTCCACTATACACAGTGGTACCCTTGGGTTACAAACACTTCGGGTTACAAACTCCGCCCCAGGATGAGAACGGAAATCGTGCGCTAGCGGCACGGCAGCAGCAGGAAGCCCCATTAGTGAAAGCACGCCTCAGGTTAAGAACGGTTTCGGGTTAAGAACAGACCTCCGGAACGAATTAAGTTTTTAACCTGAGGTGCCACTGTATAAGGGTCTGGTGACTTCTGTTTCAGTGTATCTGAAGAAGTGTGCATGCACATGAAAGCTTATACCCAGAACAAACTTAGTTGGTCTCTAAGGTGCTACTGGACAATTTTTTACTTTTTTAATTCATTTTATTACAGTTCAGTTTGAGAATGTCAACCCCAACCCTTCCCGGGTGATTTTCACTTTACTGGAAGAGGGATAGCTTACTTAGTCTACTAACTTGGCTCCCCATACCCTGTTATCATAGAATCATAGAAATTGGACTTGGATGACTTGGATGATGGACTCAAGGGCATCCTGATCAAATTTGCAGATGACACCAAACTGGGAGGGGTGGCTAACACCCCAGAGGACAGGATCACACTTCAAAACGACCTTGACAGATTAGAGAACTGGGCAAAAACAAACAAGATGAATTTTAACAGGGAGAAACGTAAAGTATTGCACTTGGGCAAAAAAAATGAGAGGCACAAATACAAGATGGGTGACACCTGGCTTGAGAGCAGTACATGTGAAAAGGATCTAGGAGTCTTGGTTGATCATTTGACATGAGCCAACAGTGTGACGCGGCAGCTAAAAAAGCCAATGCAATTCTGGGCTGCATCAATAGGAGTATAGCATCTAGATCAAGGGAAGTAATAGTGCCACTGTATTCTGCTCTGGTCAGACCTCACCTGGAGTACTGTGTCCAGTTCTGGGCACCACAGTTCAAGAAGGACACTGACAAACTGGAACGTGTCCAGAGGAGGGCAACCAAAATGGTCAAAGGCCTGGAAACGATGCCTTATGAGGAACGGCTAAGGGAGCTGGGCATGTTTAGCCTGGAGAAGAGGAGGTTAAGGGGTGATATGATAGCCATGTTCAAATATATAAAAGGATGTCACATAGAGGAGGGAGAAAGGTTGTTTTCTGCTGCTCCAGAGAAGCGGACACGGAGCAATGGATCCAAACTACAAGAAAGAAGATTCCACCTAAACATTGGAAGAACTTCCTGACAGTAAGAGCTGTTCGACAGTGGAATTTGCTGCCAAGGAGTGTGGTGGAGTCTCCTTCTTTGGAGGTCTTTAAGCAGAGGCTTGACAACCATATGTCAGGAGTGCTCTGATGGTGTTTCCTGCTTGGCAGGGGGTTGGACTCGATGGCCCTTGTGGTCTCTTCCAACTCTAGGATTCTATGATTCTATGAAATGTAGAGCTGGAAAAAACTCGAGGGTCATCTAGCCCAACCTCCTGCAATGCAGGAACTAGTGCTACTCTCCCTGATTATTTAGCGTGAAGGCATCCACCTTCACATGGTGCAATCCTCTCATCCCAGTCACCCTCCTGTCACTCCTCCTTCACCACCAATCAAAGCCCTGAGTACAAACAGTACTGAATGTACTTGGATCAAATATTCACCTGGGGCCACCAGTAACAGTCACTGTTCTTTGACGCATTTCTTGTGATGGAAGAAAGCCCTGGCTATTGGCACTTTCTGAACACCACAGAAGCAGAGGTGTCTAGCCTGCTCCCCGGCCCTGAATTTCTCCTTTCGTATTACAGCAAATTTAGGCATGGGTGCACATGTAGGAAGGCACAGAGGTCAGCAGGCACATATTATAAGCACACATTATTTTTTAAAAAGAAGAAGCAGCCCACAGTTCTGGGAGGAAATAGCATCTCTGGACAGAATATCCACAAAGTGCTGGAGAAGGACAAAAAATGGGGAGTGGCGGGAGGGGGACACCAGCAGACCTTGCCCATGCCCACTTTTAAAATTTGTGACGTACAGCACCAACCTTGTATACAGTTCATAGAGGCTCTGAAGATACTGCTCTGCGTCAGACTTCTTGTGCTCTTCCAATTGATCTTTTATATAACTCTGTGAAATGAAGACCAGCACTGCTAGTTCTCAAACACATTCATATATAATAATCCAGTTTTGAGAAACTTCCCATCCAAGTCAATGGTTAATAATAATAATAATAATAATAATAATAATAATTTATTTATACCCCACCCATCTGACTGGGTTTCTCCAGCCACTTTGGGCAGCTTCCAGCAAAATATTAAAATACAATGGAAGTTCTCAGAAAAGCAAAGTTTCCAGCATAATCAACGGCAACATCACACTGCCTCCATATACCCCTCTGTCATTTCAAAACAACACACACTGCCATTTCTGCATTCTTCAGATCTTGCCTTTTCACCGTAACCTAGCTACCACTATTCTGCCTCTTTTTCTACATGTTGGAGAGAGTGGGAGTGGAGATGTGGCTATCCCGATCCCCTTTCTATCATTTCCACTAATGTGCTGTATGAACTTCCCCTTGAACCACCCACCTCCCCATTATAGAAGGGGTGCCAAAGTACTTGGATGAGGTATTAAGCATAGATATACACACTGCCAGCACAGGCACCGGGGGCCCAGCCTACTCACAGATTGTTCCTCCATCCCTTCACCACACTCAGGGATGCAGTCAGGTGGAAAATCCCTGGTCCCAGTGGGGAAACAACACAGTTCATAAAGAGCGTAGGACGAGCGACAGGCAAGGGACAGAAGGAGCCGCTTTGTGGAATATGATGCTCACTTGGCGGTTGCTTGAGGTGCCATCCCATTCTCAGCAGCAAAATGTCCCACAATCCTTTCCTTGCTTATGCCCACAAAGATTCTGTGCAGTTGGCTACACAGTGTACATAGGGGAATCTGAAGCTATGTTTTTGTGCCTTGCCCATTAAGGCCCATAACACTGACCATATAACACTGGTCCTGAGAGACCTGCATTGGCTCCCAGTGCATTTCCGAGCACAATTCATAGTGTTGGTGCTGACCTAGAAAGTCCTAAACGGCCTCAGTCCTGTATACCTGAAGGAGCGTCTCCACCCCCATCATTCAGCCCGGACCCTGAGGTCCAGCTCTGAGGGCCTTCTGGCAATTCCCTTACTGTGAGAAGCCAAGTTACAGGGAACCAGGCAGAGGGCCTTCTCAGCTGTGGCGCCTGCCCTGTGGAATGCCCTCCCATCGGATGTCAGGGAAATAAGCAACTATCTGACTTTTAGAAGACTTCTGAAGGCAGCCCTGTTTAGGGAATTTTTTAATGTTTAATGCTGTATTGTGTTTTTAATATCCAATTGGGAGCCACCCAGAGTGGCTGAGGAAACCCAGTCAGATGGGCGGGGTATAAATAATAAATTATTACTATATATTATTATAATGATTAGAACCAAGCTGTGGAGTTCAAAGCCTTGCACCACAAAAAGATTCTCCCACACAACTTCTATAGCATTGGGGGAGCAAGCACAGCCCAGAGCCATAACTGCACAGCATATATCAAACAATGCATTCTTGCACCAAAACACTTCAAGGTTTGTAGTAATTAAGGTTGCTACAGATAACCATTCTGAAAAGGAATATACTACACAAAGAACACAATGAAACAACAGTAGCTTGTTTGTATTTGAAGAATATTTATAATGTGCTTTTAAAAGTTCAAGTCACCTGAAGCCTGATTTCGAAGATGTTCTGGATAAGTTTGGCCATCACAGTCTCAGGGCTGCTAAATATATCGCCAACCTGCTTGTTCACGTTCTGGCAGAGGACAGTAGTATCTTCAAATATATCGTTCCTCAAGTAGGCACCCTGAGTAAGTTAGGAGAGAGCTGCCACCATTAAAATACCCACAGTTGTAAAACAATGTTATTTAGATAGATCCTTCGTAAGCAAAACCTTACCTCTTGGCACTGTTTTATATACACATCGACACAGTGGGAATAGCCCTATTGAAAACAAAAAAAGGAATTGAAATTTAGGCACATTGCGACTACCGTTAATGACTGTTTCACATCCTGTTTTGACAAGAGCACTGGGGGAGGAACTCTCTGCCTCCCAGCTCTCTTTCTTTGCTTGGCCCCTGGGGAGCTCCACTTTGCCAGCAACATACTACCAGGAGTACAAAATAACCAGGAGAACAGATGGGTCTGCTGGATGGACCATTGGTTTCTCCCCAAAAAGTGGCACTTCACTGCACATGCTAATGGCTATTTAATCTGTCGAACTCAACAGCCTCTCAGGCACATTATTTGCTTAACAAAATTGGAAGCAACAGACCTGGCACTACCCATTCAGAGTGGGGCCTTTAATACAAAACATTTGAGGCTCCAAACTTGCCTTGAGACAGGCAAGAGAGGAATTCGCACACGCCTTGAGATATATGTGCCCATTCTGCTTCCAACCAGGTGTAGTCTTGGCCACCCACTGGAGCTCATGCAGGTGATCGTACAAAGCACTTCCAAAACATACACAGTTTTGAGCCCTTTTATAGAGGAAAAGAAGCCTGCAGTTGTGGGGTGGTCATTGACAATTCCTTTCTATAGGTCCCAGTGGTCTGAACTTGCACACATAAGTTTGACTCAAATAACGGAGTTCTCTGCCAACTGTAGAAATCACAACAAAGTGGCAGAGGCTCTTAGAAACGGCCATTGCACATTTGCATGTGTATGTAAAGAAACAAGGAAGGAGTGAAGTTTTCATGGAGAGGCTGCTGGAAGAGAAGCTAAGAAAATAAAATGGCCCGTGCTTTCAAAGGGAGAGTTGGAAGGGAGAGCCTTGTGACGTGCCTTGCAATGGACATTCCCTGCTACCCATAAACTTGAGTGCAACTGCCACCCATGCAGGTAAACGGTACAAAAGTCAAACATACAGGGGGCATAACAAACTGCTTTTTCCAATGTCACAATGTTCTATGTGCTGGGAATCGCTTTGCTGTAGCCACATCATCTGGATGGATTAAGTAATGGCTGCAATCTGGAAGGCCCTGTTTTGAGCCAAATCATTCGGATACTTATTCTTCAAAACCCTGGCTGACTGGCTGAGGCTGCAGCACTACGCATGCTAGTTAGAAGTAAGTCTTCCTGAGTTCAATGGAGCTTACTCCCAGGTAAGTGTGCACAGGATTCAAACCTCAGAAACAGACTCTCGCCTCTTACCTTAAAGTGAAGCAGGACTGCAGCTACTTCTCTCATCCTGCAGATTTGCCCCCTTCTTTGTGCACCGGTAAACTCCTGGATCAGTTGGCACTCCAAATCGTGATACTTACCTGAATGCAAGGGGAAAGGAGGTGGGGGTATAAAATAACATTCCACAAGTTAGTGAAAAGGGAGCAATAAGGACATTTTCATGTCAATTTAAGAAATTCAGGGCAGCAGAGAGGGGAACTTACTTGCTATTTTGGATTTTACTTCTGAAAACCTATTGACAAAATAACATTAAAATTAAAGGCTTGCACTTCAACCTTCTAACAAAGAGCTAGCTTCACACATCACATTTTTACATTTATTTATGATTTCTACACCACCTCCCCATGTTTCAAGGTGGTATGCAGCAGTATGTTAAAATATTATCAGAGAATCTCATATACAATATATTAAAATACATATCAAAACATCAACATACAAGAAGAAAATGCAATGGAAAAATTAGGGCAGAGTTACAGTTGGAATTATTTTTAGGTGTAGCCCTCAAAATATTTTGGCAGGAAATCAATATAGTACTGTGGCAATTGTCCTGTCAGCACAAGTTTTTCAGCTGGCCAGAAAGAATTATCTCCCCTCTCCTCCCCCCATGTGGGCAGAAGTCCTTATGCGGGCTTCTGCTAGCAGAACTAGTTAGTTGTATTTTAATGATTATTTTTTTTCACTTGAAATGTACTGTTTTGATTTCAGCTCATGACTACTCCCCTACCCCACTTTCCCCCCCTTTAAAATGCTAGCAAGAGTCAGTTGAAATCCATCAGAAATCACAAAGACCATTTTACAGCTGTCAGTCATACTTCACCTGTCAAAAGGTAACTCCTGTGCTATCAGGTGCAGTTTCTGGATAATATCAGCTGCCTCTTCAATCTATTGGGAGAAGACGTACAATGTACCACAAGAGATAAACTATGCAAGCAGATCACTTGCTCCCTCAAACCGAAATCATTTCCTACTGCCCTTCTTAATGCACGGAAGTGATAGCCATCACTTATTTCTGAAAATTCCCACAATCGATCCAATGAGTAGCCTGGAACTCCCCCCCCCCCCCCCCGCCTCGCTCCCCCACTCCAATATTCTGAATCCTCTTCCTAAAATGACTTGCTAAGAGTTTATTTCAAGCTTTAGTTTCTTGCCTTTATTCACGAAACTTGCAATCATCTCCTTTACGGAAATGGACCAAACTAATAATTTTTGGGACATTCCCCTAGTTCTTATATCTGTTGCTCCTTTTGGCACAGCTGCTGCCAGGACAGGCTAAAGTGGAGTATAATGGTTCTCTGATAAGTCAGGAGGTAAATTATTCTGTACGCATTGCAGACAGACCTTGGGTCATGCTATCCTTTCCTCTGTATGCCTTCTCCCAATCTAAAGTGAGAGTGGTGCATGCTCTGGTTATCTCCCGCTTGGACTACCGCAATGCGCTCTACGTGGGGCTACCTTTGAAGGTGACCCAGAAACTGCAATTAATCCAGAATGTGGCAGCTAGACTGGTGACTGGGAGTGGCCACCAGGACCACATAACACTGGTCCTGAGAAATCTGCATTGGCTCCCATTACGTTTCCGAGCACAATTCAAAGTGTTGGTGCTGACCAAAACGGCCTCGGCCCAGTATACCTGAAGGAGCGTCTCCACCCCCATCATTCAGCCCGGATACTGAGATCCAGCACCAAGGGCCTTCTGGCGGTTCCCTCCCTGCGAGAAGCCAAGTTACAGGGAGCCAGGCAGAGGGCCTTCTTGGTAGTGGTGCCCGCCCTGTGGAACGCCCTCCCATCAGATGTCAGGGAAATAAGCAGCTATTTTATTTTTAAAAGACATCTGAAGGCAGCCCTGTTTAGGGAAGTTTTTAATATTTAATGCTGCATTGTTTTTAACACTCGATTGGGAGCCACCCAGAGTGGCTGGGGAAACTCAGCCAGATGGGGAGGGTCTAAATAATAAATTATTATTATTATTGCTATACAAAATTGAGTGATGTGGACAATGGTCTCACTCGGTAGAAGGTGACTTCCTATGTTCCTAACTGGCTGACCATGGGCCAGTCACCTCCCCCTGTCTAACTTACCACACAGGTTTGTCGTGAAGATAAAATATGGGAGGAGGAAGAACACTGTAAGCCACCCTGGGCTCCATGGAAGAAGAACGTGATTCAAATGTCCAAATGTTTAATCTTTGATAAGGAGAAGTTGTCAAAATAACAGTAACCCCAGAGCTCCAATTTTTAAAAGCAAAGAGCTAACCCTGGGCCTGTATGAAGGAAACATTCACTAAGGCTGAACCAAGAACTCCAGCGCTAAAAACATACTATGTATATAAAACAGTTTATGCAAAATTCTAGTCTGTGTGGCGCAGAGCAAGATGGCCTTGCCTGACAAGGTGAAGCCCGTGATTCATCTCTTCATGACTGCTTGTCATGCCAGGCAAGGGTAGCTGAGCAGGTTTTATCACTCAGGCTAGTAAACTTCAGTGAGATTTCTAAAGCTGCGCTAAAAATAGGCAAAAATTACGGTTCTGAAAACTGCTTAGTAGGCAATCAAAACCCTTTGAAGTATAAAGTGGCCCTGCGAACACAGAGACAATTGGAGATTTGGTTGTGGACAAAAACCCAAAGGGCATCCTGTGGGAAGTGATGAAAACGTATTGCCACGATCTCAGAAGGGCTTGATCTCGCAAGGCTGGGAAACAAGCTGGGAGGATGAGGTGGGAGAGCCATTCTCCCTTGTCTGTGCTTTGGAATTTTGCCCCCAATCCAGCTGTACTTTGCCAGGTCTCGGAGCAAGAGCATCTTGAATCAGGCAGAGGTGCGTTAAGATAATCGGGTGAAGCACAAAAAACTCTCACACACACCCATTCAAACATGTGAGTAGAGGGGAAGAGATCAATGCAGTTCTATCAAGCTCTGAGGATGCTGTGGGAGCAGTACAAACAGATCACGTTGTAGGTGCATTGCAAGCAAAAGAAATTAGTAAATTATATAGCTACAGATGGAAAGGGATTTCTGGATTATACAATCAAAGAGCACCTGCTAGCATAGGCCACCTCCTAGGGCAGTCTTCCCCAGCCTGGTGCACTCCAGATGCACTGGCTGATGGGACTTGAAGGCAGTATCATAATCTATTACAAGAGTGGAAACCTGCGACTCTCCATATGTTGCTGCACTACAACTCCAATCATCCCTGACCACTGGAGCCAATGTAGCCCAGCAACATCTAGAAGGCACCAGGCTCCCCAAGCCTGATCCACCAGGAGGAAGGCTCTCCACTATGGAATACTCTCTCTCAAGGACCTTACCAGTCTTCTATCAGTGTCTTATAGATTACATGTAGAACTTGTAACCCCCGGAGTTGTTTACTAGCCGTTTTTCCACTTCTGCAAACCTACACTTATTCATACCTCCTCACCGGCAGATTTAGGGGAGTGTAACCAGTTTGATCACACTGGGCATGGAGCCTTTGGGATGCTGCAGGGGGCACCACAACTATAACGTAGAATGGAAGGCAAGAAGTGCCGAATTTGACATCACACAGGGCACTGCTGAAATTTGAGACCCCAAGGTCCACCACTGACCTCCCTCTTGTGGATGCATCAGGCTGTTCTAGCTGCTAAAGGACCAGCAAACAGAGAAGCGAGTTTGTTTTATTTTTATACACACACACACACACACACACACACACACGTATATATAAATAATGTAAAGGCAGGGGGTTACTGCATTTACTAATGGGGAAAAGGCTTTTGACTGCATGGAATGGGAGCATGACTTTCATGGATTAAAAGCTGCTAGCACTGGAACATTTATCAACTGGCTTATCAACTGCCCTCTTCCACATATGTACAGTCATAAATGCTAATTTAACAGTGACAACTTAATTTACTTGTGGGACTAGACAAGGCGGCCCCTTGTCCTCACTTCTGTTGAAATTCAGAGCTCCTTCTGTTATGATAAGAAACCATTCTAAAGATCAAAGGTTTAGAAATCAGCAGGAAAGAATTTAAAGTGTGCACATATGCTGACAGTGTTGCTGTTATTTCCTACTCAACTAGAACAGTCATTAAAAGATAACACCAATCAAGTTTAAAAATGAACAACAGAAGGTCCGAGGTATCATGCTTACATTTAACTAAAAGAGGAAGATGGTAACATACTGGAAATAACACATTTCAGGCTTTAGAAAGAGCAAAAACCTGGTGTTTTTTATAGGAACAACTAGGGAAGCTTGAAAAGAAAAAGAAAATCCGATTTAGATAACTCAACTCTGCTGAAACTTGTTTTTGATGGGAGGATAACAAGAACTATGATGAACATGAATTTTTGGAATGATGCAGAAAAGGAGAAAACACTGTGTTCAAAATATCAGAGTATACTTTTAGGAGGATGCTATTCCCAACCTCGTTATGATTAAAAACTAATTAAAAGCCCCTTAGAACTTAGGAAAAATACATTTCTAGTTTCCATATAGAGCATTTGGGATAAGTTTAGGTAACAGCTATCTCCAAATCTGTTCACTGACACTCAATCTACATTTCAATGAATTTGGGAGTAGTGGATGCTTTAAAAAGTGAGAATGTTTTGGAATAAATAAGTACATGAACCCAAATGGAAATGTATGAACTGCATGAGAACATACAATCAGATTAAGGAAGCAGTAGGAGAAAATAAGCCACCTTTGTTTGAATTATTTCATATCAGAAACTTCTTAATTGAAAATATAAGATGCTGAAAGACCTTGCATAACATAAAAGAAGGATATAAAAAAGACACTCAAGTACTGTTACAGATATATAAACTGTTAATACAAAAGGACAATAAAAAGTAATCTATGTATTAAAATGAGAGGGAAAGTTGGTGATAATGCTGGAGGAAAAGACTTGGGAAATATACATGGAAGAGAGTAACTCTGTATGTTTGGCCCTTAAAGAAAATTGCTACAAAAGGTTAGCTCAATGGTATTTGATGTCTGTACCGAGAAACTGGCATAAGAGTGGTTTGCAAACCAGGGTATCAAACTAGGATCTGATTGAACGTCATGGGAAACTGTGGTTTGACAAAACCTCAGTTATCTGTCCCTAAGCCAGGGATGCGAGGGGAAGAGTAAGTGCTCAGGCACAAAGCTCACTCTCGATCCAGCAAAAAATAGTTTATCAAACAAGATGGCAACACTTAAACCAGGCCACAGTAAAGCTTTCAAAGCAACATCCTGGTGCAAAACAGGGAAGTCAGATTTGCAGAAAAAGACACACACATACTTATCTGCAAAGTTTATTTTAACACACCTCAGTTTTCTCTGTATGTCCCCAGGAAGAGGAGAAGTACATTAACCATTCTGCAGAGCCAAAAGACGCATCCTGATAATACTTCTAGCTACAAAGAGGGATTACCCAAGAGACATATAACAGGGAAATGTTCATTCACAAGTGAGAAGAATTAGGGCAAGAGTTTCAGAAGAAGGAGAGGAGGAAGAAGAAAACACAAGAGATTTCCAAGGTATTCTAAAAAGTTACTCTCTCAGCATTCTTCCAAGTCGCTTATGATTTTTGCAAAATGAAAAAGTGACAGCATTGCCACATTGAGAACGGCTGAATCTGCAGGCAAATGAAGTTAATCTGTACTCCAGAACAATGGTGCTTGGACAAGTCGCTCGCTAGGGAGTCAGAGCGTGGAAAAGTTGCAGCAAGGGGTTGTAATTAGGGCAACTCAGCTTATGGCGTGCAACTTCTTTCAATTCTGCTGACGGGCCTTACCTTTTCAGGGTTGGTGAAAACGTCAGACTTCAGCTCTCCATCTAGAAACTCATTAAAGTATTTCATCAGTTTGTGAGCCTCCACTAGCCGTTGCCGTGGCGTGTTTACCCCCTCCAGCAGGTCGCCAAGGTGACAGACTTTAGTTGCCACGTAGCTGACATGCTCATCTAGCTCTTGGAAGTGTTGGAAGGCAACCTGGGAGAAGAGGGCAGACAAAGTAATAGCGGTTGTGTTTACTGTAATTAAGGAAAGTCAAGCTATTCAATAACATTCTAAAGAGCAAAAGCACAGAAGCTAACAAAGGGAAAGGTTCGGTATTCGTCCCCTCTCCAGTAAAACAGAGAAGCATCCACATAAATCAAGTTGATGAAAGTGCATCAAGTTGCATTAACTGAGCTAATTCCATTGGTATCCAGTGCGGATCTTAAGATTCTGTATGGTTAATGACAGACTGACTGCCTAGTTGCTCACACAGACTGCTTCCAACCATTTGGTGAAGTATCCGGAATAATTCATATTATTCCACTTAAGATTAAATTTGTGTTATATAGAAGCAGCTATATCTGGCTAAATCACACACACTACTGAGCGCTAGAATTTGGAGTTTGCCATTTGCAGATTGCTGCATAACCAGCAGGAATAGGTAATGGTTGCAGATATAGAGGCTAATGCACTCAAAGCAACCGGAGAAAAGTCACTTGTATAGATCGCTTGTACAAAAGTCGCTTGTACACTTAGATAGATATTAAGGTAAGCTGAGTTGCCATTCTCTCACCTTCCATTCCTCCCCAATGGTGGCTGACGAGAGGCAAGAAGTTGATCCCACTATCATTGTAACTACCTATCCAGAACAGTGAAGATGCCCTCTTTTGCCTAGTTGCCAATTTTTATTGAAGAATGTAAAAAATAACTGTTTTAGTTAATTTCCATTTGTAACACTGATCTTTAAAGCATATTATATCTATGTGTTTACTAATATTTTATAATGTGAAATATCCTTGTATATCTATAACTGATTTTTATGCTCAGTGTTTATTCTGATGCTAAAGAGGTTAATAGTGTTTTGTAGAATATGGATATTTTCTAGAATTTTTTGCATTTGCTTTTTTAATTTTAAGATGTCTCCAACTGCACTGTAAACCGCTTAAGAGATTTTATTAAATATAAATGCTATATAAATTGTCCAAATAAATAAAACGATATGTCTTGAACACACACCTTCCCTTACAATAAATAACAGATACCACCCCTTCAAATTTTGTTTGCAGTTAGGTGTGTGGGAAGGCAGTGGCAATTGCAGAGAGACTGTTAGTGTGTGCCTCTACCACTCCTAGGTTGGACATTCAAAGGACAAAAATTACCGTATTTTTCGCCCTATAGGATGCACTTTTTCCCCTCCAAAAATGAAGGGGAAATTTGTGTGCGTCCTATGGGGCGAATGCAGGCTTTCGCTGAAGCCTGGAGAGCGAGAGGCGTTGGTGAGCACCGACCCCTCTCGCTCTCCAGGCTTCAGGAAGCTATCCGCAAGCCTTGGGAGCCCGGCGGGAGTGCCCGCCGGGCTCCCAAGGCTTGCGGGCAGCAGCCTGCAGCCCGAAACATGGGGCGCACAACCTCGCCATCGCTCTCGGGCTTCCCCTGCCCCCAGCCCCACAAGCAAGCTCCGGGAGCGATGGCAAGGTTGAGCGCAACCTTGCCTTCGCTCCTGGACCCCCAGTCCCAAGGCTAAAAACGAAGCCAGGACAGCTAGCGGGATCCATCCCGCTCACTGTTATGGCTTCTTTGCTCTTTGGGGCTCGGGGGGGGGATAATTTTTTTTCTTTATTTCCCCCCCCCAAAAAAAAATAAGTGCACCCTATGGGCTGGTGTGCCCTATAGGGCAAAAAATACGGTACATCAAAACCTGATGTATAAGCTTAAGACACAATCTAGCACAAGTTCTCCCATGCAAAATAAACTGAAACGATGAGAGAGTACTGCAAGGATGTGAACTGAGCCCTGACTTCTTACCTGGTTGCTTTTCTGCAACTCTTGAACCTTCTTGGCAAATTCCTTGGCTTCTCTCTGGACTTGCTGCTCTAACTTCTCCACTCTTCTCTGGATTCTTTCATCTAGCAACTTGAGTTCATTGATATGATTCACAAATTCTTCTTGTAATCTGAAGGGTTTTGTATAAAGGGTTTGAGAAAGCAGATTGCAGTATCGTGATGACATTGTGTGATTGGTGGTACCAAATAGTTCTGAAGGCACTGGTGAAGGTACATCAGTACTAAGACTGAAATGCTTAAAAAAAACACACCACACAACCTAACTTCTACAGCATATCTTCATTTTATTATAAGCATTTCTGTCCTACCCTTCCCCTGTATCCCCAAAACTTCAGTCCCTAGTCTAATTGAAGTCTTCTTGCAGGATCCTAATTTGTCCAAAGTGATACTTTCACAGCACACTTCTGGCTGTGAATGAGTTTAGATAAGGACAACCATACAAGTTTACCCCATTAAAAAAACAAAACTAGGCTTCACATAGCGGGTCATCCCCACACCGTAAGTCTAGCAAGTACATAGTGCCTTGGGACACCCAAAGACCTTTCATGCAAACATGTGGGTGCACAGTTGTATAAAACAGGAATCCCAAACTGGTCAAAAGACACACAGAGTCCCACGTCCCAGTTAAAGGATTTCAAAAGGATTTAGAAAGGCCTCTGGACCTAGTGAAGAACTAGGTTCAAGGTCCAAAGCCATTAAAGCCTGGCAGCCTTTATGTCCAACTCTGCACCTGAGTAAGCTACCCTGCCAACCTTAAAAACAGCAAAAACAAACTCTAGAGGAATTGGGAAAATAAGACAGCCATGAGAAAATCGATCTGCTTATTAAAATGGATTAAAAGAATGTTGTGAAATGGCACTTAACCTTATCAAAATACCCCTATTCACTCCATTGCACCAACACCTAGCAATTATGTCATATTGAATTCTATACTAAACTAGCAACTTGCAAGAATTGGTCAAGTATAGCAGTTTAGGGATTAATCCTCCAAGTTCCTTAACCATGCTCTTAATGTTACTTGTAGAAGCCAATATGGCCATGTCAATAAGCCACGTAAGACCCGTTCCTTCTCCAATATGGGCTTTCAGAAGAAAACTTCTCCCTTTCTCCCTTGTTTACTTCTTTCTTTCTACGTTATACTTCCTCAACCCCCTTTCTACCCTCAACACGCTATTATGAAAACCACCTAAGGAGCTTGCATGGGGGGCATGGAGGAGGGGGTGTCATAGCGATCCAGCGGCTTTCACAGCTGGTGTTTATTGGGTACTTATATGATTCGCACAGTGCTTGCTCTTTGTTAAGGGATGGTTAAAAGTGTTCATTGTGCAGCTGGATTATGCGGCTGGATTTTACCTTTTGGGATCAAAAGCTTCCACGCTACTTCGGGAACCTCCGCCAGGAGTCCTCCACGCCAGGCGTTCAATGTACTCATCTGCCACAAAGGGCTCCTAACCACACAAGAAAAGAATCACTTTTTTACAGCAAGCCACAGCAGGAAGTGCAAGATACATATTGTTTACACCTCGCTGAGTGAAAGCGGCTAAAAGCTTTTTCTGCAGTGAATGCTTTACAAACCATAGATAATAGGGCCAGTGGCACTTTACACATTTGTGCACGTAATCTAAAAATTAGGCATTTTGAATATAGTGAACATCTCGTTCAGCGCTTGCAGAACTGGCCCGCTATAAGCAGCGGCTCCCAGCCTTTTACACTCCAGGACCTGTCATTCACTTCAAAGCCCAATCAGGATCTAGGCCCAATGCATTCAAGAGTGTGCTCACTCAGTGGTGACGCTAGCGATTTGTACACAGGGACCTTCCAATTCATCAGCTCAGAGAGAGGCTGGATTAGACAAGGAAAGTCGCAAGCTGTTCCCTTAAGTTCGTCAGCCTCCACTATCAACTTCCCACACTCTAATCATGTGCCTTTCTGCTACGCAGCTCCTTATGGGTGGAGAGGCCATATCTCAGTTGTAGGGGAACATGCTCTGAATGCGCAAAGGGCCAGGCTCAGTGCCACCATTTCCATGTACAAAGATCTCAGGTAGCAGGAAGACTCTTTCCTTGCCTGTTCCTTCACTGCTGTGAATCTCATCTGCCACCCCACATTATTCATTTATCTGTCCCAAACCCTGAGCACACTCCTATCTTCATGTGGATTGTAGACTTCATAGGAAGACTGTATCCCTTCTGTATGGCACCAGGAACACACTCTGTTTACTTTTAGAGGGTTTTTACATTTACTACATCATCATCATCATCATTATTATTATTATTATTAATAATAATAATAATAATAATAATAACAGGTTTCTAATCCACCCTTCACCACAAGGTCCAAGGGCAGGTTACAGCAATTCAAAAGTCTGAATTAAAAACAGCAGCTTAAAATAAATTACAGATCAGTCCTACATAGGGTTGTAGAAGCTCATCAAGAATAGATCTTATGGGTTTTTTAAAAAATTAATTGCAATATATTTTTTCAAAAAAGGAATAAAATGAAAAAAAGCAAAGAAAATGTAATCTTATGTCTTTGAGCTAATTTAAAAACCTAGATTGCTGGAAAGTGATATGAGGTTTTAAAAACATGATATTGAGGGCAATAGCAATAAGCCATTTTTTTCCAAATTCAAAGTGCTCAGAGGCCACAAGCAGTTTTTTATTCCAGACATTTTTAATATCAGTGCCAAGCGTTAGCACCTTGAAAAACAATACCTGACTAGATAGACAAGTTATTCCACACCTACAGTGCACTGAAGTTATACCACAAGTTTGTTCTGTTTAGTGGCAAAGCCAAGCTTCTCCTTTGGTTTAACTTGTCTTTTTAGCATTCCATTGCTACATTTGTTTGTAATGCAATTGTTCCATGCGGCACAGACTTTTCTAAAAAAAATGGTAGATGTGGTTACCACACAGTTTTAAATCACAAGTTCAGAAACCCATTATGAATTTCATATCTGATTCAAAGGGACAATATAGATCATAAGAATGAGACCACTGTGAAATTTGGTATGGACGTCTGCAAACATTTCCAGAGGAGTAACCATGTTAGGCTCTTGCAGCAAAAACAATCAGTGTCTTGTAGCACCGTAAAAACTACAGTGGTACCTCGGGATGCGAACGGGATCCGATCCGGAGCCCCATTCACATCCCGAATGGAACGCAAGATGCAACGGCGCGTCTGCACGTGTCGCGTTTCGCCGCTTTCGCGCATGCGTGACGTCATTTTGCGCGTCTGCACATGCGCAAGCGGCGAAACCCGGAAGTAACGCGCTCCGTTACTTCCAGGTTGCCGCGGAGTGCAACTCAAACACGCTCAACCTGAAGCACATTCAACTCGAGGTATGACTGTACGTCATAATAAATTTGTTAGTCTCTAAGGAGCCACAAGGCTCTTTGATCACATTTACAAAATTTTCTGTTTATAGTTCAGGTACCTGCTGGACCCCTGTTTTAAATAACCTGCTAGATCAGACAACAGGCCTACCTAGTCCTGTATCCTGTTTCCCAACCAGACGCCCACAAGCAAAGTGTTGCAACGTGCCTCTTGAACAATGTGTATTCCCTAAGTGGCATCTGCACCCCGTAGAGTCTTTCACCACGCAAGTATGATGTGCAATTCCCTCCTCAACAGAGATTGCCTGATCACTATTATTAATACTCTACTAATCTATGGACTGGACTCCTGCAATGTGTTGTTATATGGAACTGCCTCTGAAGACTTCTTGGAAACTTTGGTTAACACAAAGTGCAGCTGCCACGCTGCTAACTGGGAACAGCTTTAGGGAAGGTAGCTCAGCAGGTCTCTTAAACAGACAACACTAGCTGTCAGTCCATTTCAGCATGAGCCTTCGTTCATCTTCGGAGACCCTCCTCTTGGTCCTTGTGCTATGTGACGTTAGGCAGGTGATGACTGGGGAGAGGGTGCTCTTGGCTGTGAAGCTCTGTCGATAGCATGCCCGCCCCAGAGACACCTGCCTGGTGCCAACCTTGATGTACTTTCAGCAGCAGGCAAATGCTTTTTTGTTTTCCTAGGGGCAACCGACATGTTTTATATCAGTCAGTTTTAGTTTTATGGATTTACTGATTTCACTGGCCCCTGGCTATTGCTTCTAAGATCTGAACAGATTTAACGTAGTGTTTTATTGTTTGCATAGCATGCCACTCTGAGAGACATGCACTACAATCACATGTGAGTCAACAAAGCAAAAAGGTTGCTTCCACACCTGGGTTTATTGTTAGATTGGTGCTCCTCAAGTGTGCAAGCTCACAGTGTCCAAACAACATTATTAGCATAAAAGCCAGCCTATACTTCCCTCCACCCCAAAATTAAGCCAGATTTACCCTTTCTGAAGAAAACCCAACATGCTAAAAAAAATCCTGTTGCCAGCAACCCATCTGCAATATCCAAATACGCATTTACAATATTAAGTCCCCATTCAGAAACACCCAGGGACGCAGGTGGCACTGTGGGTTAAACCACAGAGCCTAGGACTTGCTGATCAGAAGGTCAGCAGTTCGAATCCCCACGACGGGGTGAGCTCCCGTTGCTCGGTCCCTGCTCCTGCCAACCTAGCAGTTCGAAAGCATGCCAAAGTGCAAGTAGATAAATAGGTACCGCTCTGGCGGGAAGGTAAAAGGCCTTTCCGTGCACTGCTCTGGTTTGCCAGAAGCGGCTTAGTCATGCTGGCCACATGACCCGGAAGCTGTATGCCAGCTCCCTCGGCCAATAAAGCGAGATGAGTGCCGCAACCCCAGAGTCGGTCACAACTGGACCTAATGGTCAGGGGTCCCTTTACCTCTACAGAAGCACCCAAACCTTACTGAGTGCCCAGGACTTATTCCCAGGTAAGTACAACGAAGCACAATGAAGTGGGAAGCAGGCCACCAAATGATAGTCAATGTGCTGGGCAAGGTCCACTGTGGTCGTGAAATGGATGGAAACATAGCACAAAATGAATCATTAGGGCATATGTTGCCCAAACTGAACACTACCTGGAACATTTATGATATAATGCAGAGGAGGAATGTTTATTCCAATGGAACATCAATTTCTTCTGTACACCTGCCAACTGTGAGAACATTCCACACTGCCCAATTTTTCTGTAATCTAATAACAATACATATTGCATTGCTAGCTAATGGGGCTGCCTGCAAAACTGGAAGACTCTGTATGGCCTACACTTAATTGTAAAGCCAGTAATCATGCCAAAAGTTCTTTAAAACTTTTGGCAAGTGGAATATTGTCTACCACAGTGGTACATTTACAGTGCAACCCTAACCATTACCCAGAAATTAAGCCCAATTGAATTTAGGAGACACACTCTCCAGCTAAGTACGCAGAACGCCACAGACCTAGAGATCCAAGGTTCACATTCTCTGGAAACCTCTTTGTATTTAAGGATGGCTGATAGATCTGCACAGATGAAATCATCTGTTTTCCCCTCTCTTCCACTAATCACAGCGGTCATGTTACAGTACGATGAGTGCATGCCAGTGTTACATTATGTCTGGGTTACTCAAACTGCCTGGCAGGCCAGTCCCTAGGCATTTGAACTGCCATTTGAACCACCACACAATGAATGTAATCTTCCTTTCACTGCTGCTACTTCTGGTGATTATGCTTCCTTAGTATGCCTCCCATTTACAGATAAATATTGCAGCGTTCACAGCATCATAGAATTGTAGAGTTGGAAGGGACCCTGAGGGTCATCTATTCCAACCCTCTGCTATGCAGGAATCAATTCAAAGGAAACTACAGAGGAAGTGGAAGGAAATGGAGGCAGGGTAAAACAAGGAATGGGTTCAAGGTTCTTTTGGTTGCATGTGCTTAGGCCAAGTTACAGGTACAGTTACAGTCAGGCTCTGGAATTGGGGGTTGTTCCAAAGGCAAAATACCCCTGTGTATCTTCATGCTTGTTCACAACGAAAACCATCTCGCAAGTTCCAGTACAAACTGAAACATAGGGATATAAATTTAACAGACCAGCTGAGGCTATTTGACGTGCCTTGCTTTTATCGTATATATTATCTTTAAGTTGGAAGATGATTGGGGCCACTTCATGGGCTGAAAGGTGGAGGAGAAGTGTTTACATAAATTAATAAAATATGGCAGCTGCTTCTTGTAGCCTGTAAACATAAACACATGCATCCGTTTGCAGGGTATTTCAAAGAAACGTGTCTGGCCTAAGGTGCGACTGGTCACTTTGTTTAGCCAGTCTCTTTCCTAGCAGGGCTCCTGTCCTTGAACAGCTACAGAAGTGGAAGAAATGCAGCAAATGAAATCCCATCTCCATGCCAGCTGCACTTCTGCCTGAAATGCAGGTGTTATGGGCCCAAGGCGAAGACATGCCAAGAAAAGAAGGAGTGGCAACCATAGACCATCTCTTAATACAAATCAGTATATGACTTCTTCGGCAGCTTAGGGCTGCAAAGAATACTCAAGGCCAGAGCAGTGGAGGCTGTTCCAACAGGGCAGATGGGGAGCTGCCCCACCAGCCCCCACCAGTCCACCTTCTTACTTACAAGCACTGGCTGTCAGCCTCCTCCTCCTTAGTCTGCTGCCTTTGGAGAACTCATCAGGAAAGAGGATGGAGATGAAACTAGAATTTGTTAGTTCTTTCTGACCCTGGCCTCCTTGCTTTCCGCCCTTTCAGTCCCGTCAGCACTGGACCAGGGATTGTTCAATGCCATGATTACCTCAATATTGGAGGAAAGTGGGCTAAGACCTTTCCCCTCCAATAAAAATAACCTTAGAAGTTCTACTACAATATTTTGGGGGGAACAGCAGCAATGCCACCAGTTCCGAGGGGGGAAATTGCCTATTACTGTATTATTATTATTGTTGTTGTTGTTGTTGTTGTTGTTGTTGTTGTTGTTCTGAATTTGTCTCTCTCGCTAAACTTCATCATCTTTGCAGACACAACCCAAAGAAGCATCTTACCCACCCTACTACACCTCCAAAACAGTGGCTCCCCAATTTCCACCCACCGTTCACAATCTCTCGCTCCCCATCTCATTCGCCCTGTGCCACACGTGAGGCTTCCCAATTTGTTATTATTTTTTAATCCTAGTAAAGCATCAACACCAACAGCTGCATGACAAGCAAATAACCCAGCAGGAGAATCTTTTGCCTGCCGCTGCATCTCCATCTCGGGGGGGGGGGGGGTCATTTCTCCATTTCACGTGGCTGTCAAAGTAAGGGGTGAGGGGAAAGTCTATGTACTAAGACGCTTCCCCCGCCCCAATCCTTTCCCCTCTAAGACCAACCTTATGCCTCCCTATTTCTGACCTAACAGACACAAGATGTTACCCCACTACATCGCTGACAGCTGCCCCTCCCCACCTTTCCCTTCAAAACACACACCCATTTTGCTCTCCCCAGAGACCCTTGCTGCCCCACTGACAGCTCCCTTCCCCCACGCTTGCCTTTCCTTCCCTCTCCCCTTCAGTGACGCTCCCCCCTCCCCAAAATCAGCTCAACCTAAACCCTCTTCCTCCTCAGCAGACATAGAAAAAGGCAAGTTTATAGACAAAGGAGCATGCCATTTGCACCCCTTTGCCGCCTGAGGCTGGGACTTTGCCCACCCATCTTCCTCTCCCCTCATCTCCATGTATGAACTTAATAGGGTTTTGCTTATTTTTTGCTTGCTACTATTATTATTGTTATTTGCTTGCTATTCTTGCTATGTTGTTAATATTGTATAGATTATAAATGCTTGTTAATAGATTATAGACAGATCATATGATTTGTTAATCATATGACATTTGCTTTAATTCTGGTGTTTTGTTTATTTCTTAGCTGTTGCTTTGTCAACAGCGTTTTTTGCAGGTTGCGACTGCTTCTCCGGTGATTTGTTAACTATTCTATATGATTTATGCTGCGTTTGTGACATTCTACGCTGCTATCACTCATTGTCCATAAGCCGCTCCGGGATTCGTGTGAACGAAAAGCGGTATAGAAAATGCAATAACTAAATCAATGAAACCACCCCTTGTCACTCTGCTTGCCTTCAATACTTCACTCCCCGGAGGGACAAGACCCCCCCACCCCCCCCAAAGAAACAATCTGCCTATTTCCTCACCTCAAAGAAAACACTCCCTCCCTAGGGGGTGCCCCACTGCAAGACACGGGGTTTCACCCCACATGGTATCATCCCAAATAAGGAGAAGGGGCGCCACCCCACATGAGAAGAGGGATATCCCCCACACATGAGGGGTGCCACCCAACATGAGGAAAGGGTGTGCCCCCCACATGAGAAGGGGTGCCACCCCACATGAGAAGATGGATATCCCCCCCCACACATGACGAGAGGTATCCCCCCAATATAGGGGGTGCCACCCCACATGAGAAGATGGATATCCCCCCCACACATGAGGAGAGGGGGTGCCACCCCACATGAGGAAAGGTTGTGCCCCCCACATGAGGAGAGGGATACCCCCATGATGAGAGGAGGTATCCCCCCACATGATAGGGGGTGCCACCCCACATGAGAAGAGGAATATCCCCCCACATGAGAGGGAGACATCTCTCCCCACCCCATGAGGAGGAGAGGGGAGCGGGCATCACCCCACACACCCCATTCTCTCTCGCCCCCCCCCCCATCTTGCCCCAGTGACAGCTCCCTCTCTCTTCCCCCGCCCCGCCCCACGTCGTCCCCCCCAAACCCCTCACCTCGAAGAGCTCGGGCGTGACGGCCGCCATGGCGCCGGTCCCTGCTCCGTCGCCGTCCCTCAGCCGCCCCCGCAGGCCCGCCCCCCGCCGCCCGGACCAGGCCTCCTCCATGGCCTCTCTCGGCGGCGGCGGCCGAGTCCCGAGCTCTCCTCCTCCTCCCGCTGCCGCCGCTGCTCCTCCTCCGCCAGAAACCGTCCCTCGCCAGGCCGCGGCTGGGCGCTTCCCCGGCTCCTCGGGGCCTGCGAGGCGGCTCCGCCCAGGCAGAGGCGCCCCAGTCAGCTGCTGCTGCTGCCGGCTAGGCCCCGAAGCCGCGCCTCGGAGGAAGCGGGAAGGCCCGGCGGAGGAAGGCGGCCTGAGGGGGCTGAGGAGGCGGAGGCCGCTCCTGAGGGGAGGGGCGCAGGCCTGTCAGCAGCGTCTGGGGGGGGGGGCTTTTGAAAAGTGGGGCGCGGGGGGTGTCCCACGGAGCGAAGTGGGGAGGGGGGTCTCCTTCAGGTAGGAAGGTGAGAATATATATATATTTATATTCCATATATATATATTGAAAGACTGTTGGGGAGTTTAAGGCAGGGCTTTGGGGGGGAGGCATCTGCTCCAGGGGTCGGAAGACCCTCTAAATAGGGGAGCTCTGAATAGGGGAAGGGGTGCCTTGACCCCCTACTCTCTGCACTGCAAGAGGTTCTGGGACAGAAAAAGGGAGAGAGAGATCTGGATCCTTGTGTCTGCTTTTTTTCCCTGATTGCAAGGGTGCAACTAGGGTGCATGCTCCCCATTGCAAGGGGATAGTGGGGTTGGGGGTCCTCAGCCTGGAACTGGTAGGGGTCTCCGCTTTTGGAGCGTCGCCTTTGCTGATCTGCAAAGCTAGGGCGTTGTTTGGGGCGCCTGCGACTTTTTGAAGGCCTGCTACCCCGGGGAAGCGAACCTTCGGAGGGTGGTTGTTGTTTTTTAAGTAGGTTTGGGGTTGGGGCACGGCCGGTGAGAGGGGTGCCCTAACCTGTGGGCCAAATTCTGGTTGAGGAACAGGGGAGCCGCGGTGCTCATCCAGGGGAGAAGCTAGCAGTGGCTCTGGGGTTGAGGAGCTGGCCGGTTCTGGATCCGAAATTTCCCTTGGCACCCGAATGATGCCTGCAAGAAGAAGTTCCTAGACGTGGTGATCCTTTGCGATCTTTTGCGATCCATTAAGCCACCCGCAATGGCCTTGAGGGGACTCTGGCTCGTCGGCCACGAACAAGGGTCCTGTGCCACCGTGCTGTTTTCCAGGTAATATGCTGTAGTGAACCTACGTAAGAGCTGGTCAGTATGTTCCTTTCACCACCCAGTGGCTGTTTCCCTGCCCTCTCTCTGCCATTGTGAAGCAGAACGGCCTCTTGTGAGTTGAGCCATCGCGTAAGGAGCATCTCTGTAAGCGATGGGTCATATCTCGATGACAGAAGGCTGTGCTTTGCATTCAGAAGTTTCCAGGTTCAACCCTGGGCATCTGCAGTCAAAATAGATAGGGCAGATTCGATGAGGAAGACCCTCCTCCTTCGCCTGAAACTTTGAAAAGCTGCTGCCAGTCAGAGTAGACAGCATTGGGCTGGATGGGCAAATAGTCAGAACTGATGCACCACAACTTCTGTGGTTGCTGTTCCTGCGTAGCCTTTCTCCTTCCCAGTTTCCCCTGGGATTGCCAGCTTGAGATAAAGACTGAGGGTGATCTCCCTTAGAGGAACCAGCCCACCAATGACATTAATAATAATAATAATATCTTTATTGTCATTGCCCCCTTCGGGGACAACGAAATTACTTGACTGCTCCATAAAAACTCTAATTAATCAATACAGTATAATACAGCAAGGGAGATTAGATGACTTTCAAAGTCCGGGCTTCCCATTCAGGGCCGAGATCGCTCTGGAGAAGAAGCTGTTCTTAAGACGGCTCGTTCTTGTCTTCATCATCCTGTATCTCCGTCCCGACGGCAAGAGCTCGAAGAGACAGTGACCAGGATGCGATGGATCTTTTACTATGTCCAGTGCCTTCCTATGGCACCTTGTGGCATAAATCTGCTCTAAGGTGGAGAGTGGGCAGCCAACAATGCTCTCTGCTGCCTTAACAACCCTGCACAACCCCATCCTGTCCTGGGTAGTACAGCTTCCGTACTTGTGACTCACTGTGATTTTGGTTTCCTAGCATGCGAGCCAAGGTATCTGAAAACAAAGGGCGTATTTACACTACATTCCCTCTCCCCAAAGATCCCAGGCAATTGTAGTTTGGAGCGTCTGCATGGGATAGCGTTCTTAACAAACCCGAGCTACAATTACCAAGATCCTTTTCGAAAGTCATGGCAGTTGAAATTCTATAGTGTCTTGGAGAAAGACAATACTGGGCAATAAGGCAGCTTCCTATATTCTTCCTATACAGTAAGCCTGCAACCCACGCACAGGTTGCATTCTGGGGACTGCGCCTAAAGCCAAAATCGCATATAGTCAAAAGACATTGGGTGCAATGGTGGGTAGGATTGCCAGAGACTTTTTTCCTGGACATCCACCCTCTTTTTATTATTTGCACGTAAAGGTGAATGTTCATAAGTTAAATGTGCATACGTTGCGGGCGCACTGTATTGATAGTGGCTCCTCTGTGTGACGGATACACAGTACAGTAACATTGTATTTTGGGTGGTGAGGTACATTGGTGGGGCCCACAGGAGGCAATTATTTAGCATTATTTCTCTAGTACAGCATTGTCTTCCTGAATGTGGTTGTCACCAGTTCAAGGCTGCAATCACAAAACCCTAGTGGCAACTTGCTCTGTGCGTTTGTGTCTCAGCTGCTCCCAAGGCCAGTGTAATTGACTATGAGCTCTGCCTCCTCTCCAGCTTCATGGCTGGAAAAAAAGAGATTGGAGCTCATGGAGCTTAGCAGAAAACAGTGGAACACACTCAGTTGCAAGCAGAATCATGGACCCCTTCCCCGTTTTTCTGGAGTGGCTATTTGGAATAGCAACACTCCGAACAATGTATAAAACAGGTTGGTGACATGTTCCTCCATAATGCAGAGAAAGACCTCAGAAACCACATCGTGTCCTAAACATAATGTGTACTCTGCCTCCAATATTATACCATTTTCCTCCTGTTTCCCCACGGGGACCAAATTCTTGGCAACCTTGGATGGGCTACTTGCCCTGGGTCCTGCTTTTAAAGGGTAAAGGGACCCCTGACCATTAGGTCCAGTCACGGATGACTCTGGGGTTGCGGCGCTCATCTCGCTTTATTGGCTGAGGGAGCCAGCGTACAGCTTCCGGGTCATGTGGCCAGCATGACTAAGCCGCTTCTGGCGAACCAGAGCAGCACACGGAAATGCCGTTTACCTTCCCGCCGGAGTGGTACCTATTTATCTACTTGCACTTTGACGTGCCTTCGAACTGCTAGGTTGGCAGGAGCAGGGACTGAGCAATGGGAGCTCACCCCGTCGCGGGGATTCGAACCACCAACCTTCTGATTGGCAAGTCCTAGGCTCTGTGGTTTAACCCACAGCGCCACCCACATCCCTTCTGTCCTGCATTTACATAGGAACAAATGCCTTATTCTGAGTCAGACCATTTGTTCACATAGCTCAATATTGTCTACACTGTTTGGCAGCAGCTGTCTAGGGTTTCAGGCATGCTTTTGCATGGTGGAGGAGTGGCGAGCGCCTCTCCAATCGCCGTGCATGTGACATTGCATAAAATTTGTATGTGGCACATGGATGTGCCGTCATGCAGGTACCTAATTTTGCTTCCTCAGAAAGGAGGGGAAGAGTTTGCCTGGAGTGCCCATGTTATGGATGTGGGGAGAAGAAGGGTCTATCCCAGTATACAAAGTCGTGATGAGCATGTGAACATTGCACGCACTTTCACTCGCATTTCTCTGTTACTTTCGCATGAGCATTGGGAGAGTTAAAAAGAGAAACATAAAGAGCATGTGCCAGTTCTGTAAAATGTCTACACAAACTGTGCTTGTGATTGTTGAGGTTCAGCAGTAATTGTAGTCTGCATTGTAGACTCAGGAATACTTCAGCCATCCTTCAGCCAAAATGGGAATTAGAGACAACAAATAAAAACCTTCCACCATGCCAGGTTCAAACACCGATTCCACATAATGCCAATTATCCCCTTTTGTTCATTCCTACTGTACTTTAAAGTGACACTGTCAACTTGATATTTGGAATTAAATTAATTTTGATGGGGGGAAATTGAGCTTCTGACAGTGGCGTCTTTTAAAAATAATTACTGTACAACGTAGTAGTTAAATCCAATTGTTTAATATATAAAAAAGGGTTTTTCTGTTCTCCCGTGGATATTACAAGGGTTTGATATTTCTTTTACTCCTCTGAATAAGGGTAGAATTAACCATGGAGCTGTAGTTAATAAAGGAAGATATAGAAGCAGTTGACAATCAGTTGATGAATCGGAGCCTACAAACAGCAGTAAAGGTTTCTCAAATTTAGGGGGCTGGAAAAGGACATGAGCACAGAAACAAGTGAATTGTCTGTTTTATTGGTAATAGAACCGTAAACAGGCAGGGCTCCAGGTTTGCCAAAGTATTGGTCACAACTCAAGCCTTGGAGTGCTTGCAAAGCCTCATTCCCCTGGGCATAGATAACATCTTGTGTGAAGTGGAACTTCAGATGAAGGCCTGTGTGTACAATGGCCTGATTCATGCTGTGATTTCTCCCCAGAAAAGGATTGTGCCAAAACAGCCATTGTGCAGATAGGTGTCTTCATGGAGCCTCCACCTCGTTTGTGACTTGTAAAAGCAGCTTGGTGAACCAACCCCTTAGGAGTTGGGTCAGTTTGGTGCCATGCAGCTCAGACCAATTTGGAGCATGCAACAACAACAACAACAATTTTATTATTTGTACCCCGCCCATCTGACTGGGTTGCCACAGCCACTCTGGCTGGCTTTCAGGAGATAAAGAAACACAATAAATCATCAAACATTAAAAACTTCCATATACAGGGCTGCCTTCAGGTGTCTTCTAAAAGCTGTATAGTTATTTATCTCTTTGACATCTGCTGGGAGGGCGTTCCACAGGGAGGGCGCCACCACCAAGAAGGCCCTCTGCCTGGTTCCCTATAACTTCACAGTGGGGGAACTGCCAGAAGGCCCTCGGAGCTGGGCCTCAGTGTTTGGGCTGAATGTCTCAAGCAACGTAATGTTAACTTTCCTGCAACCTGTGTGCTTCCACATTGCAGGCGTTACCCCACGGTTGAAAAGCGAGCAATATGCCTCAATAGAGCAAGTTATGTGGCCGTGCCTGAAGACGGCCCTTTCCTTAAAGCGCTGCTTTTCGAACTGAGACTGGCCGATGAAGACCAGAGCTTCATAGAGCGTAGGGATGGCTGCTCCCGAATCAACAAGACTTCGGTCTATGCCCTTCAGACCGAAAGCGGAGAACTTTGGCCTGTGGTGGCCTTCCAAAAGAGCGGGTTGGTTTACGTCGGCCTCCCATTGGTGGAGCAGCCCTTGGCACCGCGCCCACCTCTCATCAGCATCAGTGGGGTCTCTCAGGCTTTTGCGGTCTTGTCGGGGCTGCTGGCTTTCATGAACTCCAGCCAGAAGAGTAAAGCAGAGAGGACTTCCAAAATTGGCCAGCTCCCAGGCTTGCTTATGCAGAGCTGTCCTCTTGGCACCCCGCTGGATATGAACTTGAACGGCTCGTCATTGGAAAACAATCATGTTACTCCAAGTAGCCATCCTCAGAAACCACCAGCTTGGAGAACCAGCGTGTACAAGGGAAAGCCTCAAGTTAATGTCTGCATTACTGAAAAAGTCAAGTCCGTGCAGTATGACAAAAGGGATGTGTCAGACATGTGGCAGGTTTATGGAACTGTAACTTGCAAGGTGAGACACTTTCTGGCGCAAATCTCTCTAACCTATTTGACACATGAATGCCCCTGGAAAAGCAAAAATTCAGCTCATTTTTATCTTGGCATATGGGGAAGCTGAACCTAATATTTTTAATGCTTCAGCATGCCGCAGAGGAAATGCTTCTTTTTTTAGATTTGTGAACTATACCAAACAGAAAATCTCGCTTTACAGATATGCTCTTGCGTACCTCCCTCCTAGTTTCGCTAGCTGAATAAAGAGTTAAAAGATGCCACTGCTAATTTCGATATCATTTATCAGTGTTTAGATTTCATCCTGCGGTGCTTGCATTATTCATCCTCATAATAGCCCTGTGAGCTGAGAGACACTGTCTCAGTTCAGACATTGTAGGTTGTACTTGTAATAAATTATAATAGTAAGAATAGTAATGAAAACAATAATACAATTCTAGTTATAGTCAGCAACATCTGGAAGGTCGGAGGTTCCTCTTAAAGGGTAAAGGGACCCCTGACCATTAGGTCCAGTTGTGACCGACTCTGGGGTTGTGGCGCTCATCTCGCTTTATTGGCCGAGGAAGCCGGCGTACAGCTTCCGGGTCATGTGGCCAGCATGACTAAGCCGCTTCTGGCGAAGCAGAGCAGCGCACGGAAACGCCGTTTACCTTCCCGCCAGAGCAGTACCTATTTATCTACTTGCACTTTGAGGTGCTTTCGAACTGCTAGGTTGGCAGGAGCAGGGACCGAGCAATGGGAGCTCACCCCGGATTCGAACTGCTGACCTTCTGATCGGCAAGTCCTAGGCTCTGTGGTTTAACCCACAGCGCCACCCGCGTCCCCGCTATTATAGCTATTAACTATTTAAAGGGAAGCCTTTCTAGGAGGTTGTGAAGTGGGCCGTTCTCTAAGGAGGTCTGTTCCGTTCTCATGGATAACTAGGGATGCTTTGAAGACTTCTCTTTCTTTGTCTTTGAAGTGCGACATCGAAGGCACGGCTCCCAACGTGACCATCAGCTTGAACCTCCCTGCCAACGGCTCTCCTCTCCAGGATATTTTGGCCCACCCTTGCGTTACGTCCCTCGACTCCGCCGTTCTGACTTCCAGCAGCGTTGACGTAATGGACGACTCTGCCTTCAGCGGGCCTTACAAATTCCCTTTAATACCTCCTGCAGACCCCTTCGACCTGTGCTTTTATACTTCCCAGGTAAGGCTGCACGATTTGCAATGTTAATCTGGCAGCGGGGTCAGGCACTTGCCAGAGTCGGTACCCCAGCAAGAGGCACCAAGATCCCCTGGCCCTCCTCCTCCTCCTTGCTGTTCTCCCATCCTGTGGCCTGGTGAGGATGACCAAGTGAGCAGCAACAGCGGTGAGGATAAGGAGCAGCTGGCACCACTGGTGATGAAGTGGCAGTGATCGGGACCTGATCTGGAGAAGGAAGGCGTCGGGGGGGAGAGGGAAGATGGTGGTCATCTGTCATGGATGCTTTAGCTGTAATTCCTGCATTGAAGGGAGTGGACTGAGTGACCCTTGGGATCCTTTGCAAGTCTAAGATTCTATGAGCAGGAAAGAATCTGGGCTGGCACACTTACCGGATTTATGAAGGCTGCAGAAGCAAGAGACCTGCCTGCCTGCCTGATCAGTTATCCATTGAAAAATACTTATCATATGTGCCCGTCTTGTTCTGGTTCATTTATTTACAGCATGGCACCACGTAATGTGAAGTTTAAGGGTTAAAAGCAACACTTTTAAGCTGGGCGCTGTCAGACTGACACATCACAGGTGCAATATCATCAAATTATCAGTCCCGGTTAATAATCTTGCGGCCCTTTCCCGGACCAACTGTGGTTTCCGGACTGTTTTTAAATGCAGCCGCACGTACAGAGATTTACATCTATGGAAGGCAAAGTTACAATCACACCTTCCTGTATAATAACATGGTCTCTCATAACAAAGCCTGGTCTCTTCTCATCTCTGTCTCTCTGAAAGGAATCTGCGAGTTAGCAATGGCCCTCCATCTCATTACATGCTTTGAGTGTGGCATTGGGCAAGTTTTTGGCCTCCATCCTAGAAATATTTCCAGCACCCTGCTGATCGGTGGTTTAGAGAATCTAGCTTGCAAATGAGTTGTTAATTCCTGTTTTCCATCAGAATTAAGCACTTTCTGCCTAATTATCTTACTGTTTAGCAATCAGAGAGTTTATATCTGACATCTGGAAGCTGTCAGCCCATTTTAATTTTATTTATTTTACTTTATTCTGGAATTTGCACTCTATCATGCCTCCAAAGAGGCCTCTGGGCAACTTGAAAAACCTGCAACCATAAAAAAGCCTACAACCACCAATTGATAAAACGCATAAGAATGGTTTTAAAATGTGAATATAAGGAATTCAACTCTCTCTCCTCTCGCTCAGGTGCCTGTTCCACCAATTTTGGGGTTTTATCAGCTAAAAGAGGAAGAGTCACAGTGGAAGTTCACAGTTCACCTGAAGCTTCATGAAAGTGTGAAAAACACTTTTGAGTACTGTGAGGCCCGTATTCCCTTTCTCAACAGGTGAGAATCATGCAATTGTCCCCTCTTTTCTGGGAGTGGGATTTTCAAGAACCAACATGTTTCCCTTCTCGGGTGCAGGTAAAAGTTGTCGTTGGGACAAGGCTTGAAATAGAGCATAGGACACATCATATCTAGCCCAGTGTTGGGAAACCATTGACCTTCCAGATGTTGCTCAGTCATCACAATGGGTAATGAGTAAGGACTGGACCAGCAGTTCACCTTTTACCAATATGATGGAAATAGGAGAGGTGTCTTCACTCGCCCTACAGCTGGGACAATTTATAACGGAGGAGTTACAAAGGCTACTGCTTACATTGTCTCCTGGTGCAAATGTTTAATTTGCACCAAATTCACCTTGTACAGAAAGTGTGCACTGTTACCGGTTATTTAATGAAGGGGTTCCAGGTAAGCCCCAGGTTGCTGTAACGGGGTTTGTTCTTCTGTTGGCGACAGGGGACCCATTACACACCTGGAATACAAGGTCAGCTACGGCCAGCTGGAGGTGGCAAAAGAGAAAAGCTTGCTGGTTTGGGTCATAGGTAAGATAAAACCTATCCCCCCCCTCCACTTTCCTACTGAAGGATGGTTGCGTACTGAACTTGTTTGAAAAGGCACCACAGCCACCTTGCTGGCTGCTCCATCCACTCTTGGGCCATGGGAAGATCAGCCAAGTCCTCATTAAAGCCCTTTCCCTCCCGGTGGGCTTTGCCAACCAGGACTTCTTTTACTTCACTAGCACAGAGTTGGTGGCCAAGAGTGTGAGCTCTGAACTCAAGCCAGGCATGCTCTCATCTCAGGCAAAAGCTCCGTACATCCCATTTTAGGCAGCCAACTGGCCCTTAGTTTCCCCTCCTGTAATGTGGGGGCAATGATAATTCTGACCTTCCCCACAGAAATATCATTAGGGTTATTTAGCTAGTGTGTTTGAAGGGCGCACTCATAAAATATTGACACTATCCCTCCTCTCGGCCATCACAGCCCCTCTCCTCCATATTCTCTGCTCTGCCTTCCTGCTTTCTCCTTAACTAGCCCTTCTCCTCCTCTATTTGGTTCCTATGTGCCTAAAGAATAGCCTTGGGACATTTTAAATTTATAATAATAATGATTTTATTACTTATATCCCGCCCACCCGGCTGGGTTGCCCCGGCCACAAACAGATTTTGTTTATTACCTTTCATTGAAGAGTTGCTTCCTATGAAGCATCTCAAAGCGGTTCAACGAGAAAAACATCAACAGTAACATTGTAAAAAATAATTTCACATATAGAAGCAATATCAGAGCCAATGCAGATGCAGACTGGGATAAGAATATCCCCTTGATGGTCTTCATTAGGCACCAAAAGGGCAGTAGACAATTGGTGCCTGTAAGTGGAAGGAGTTTCAAAGTATAGGTGTGACCACTGTAAAGGTCCAGTTTCTACATACATGCAACATTTTCTTTTTATGCTGCCTTTCCATAGTTAAAACTATGCTCATGGGGGGTGGGGAGAGGAAATGTTGCAGAATTCAAAACACAAGAGAAGGAGTCATAAGCTAAAAAGAAAACACCAGAAAGTACACAACCAAATTTCCACATAAATCATAATGAAGGTACAAAATAAAGGTACAAAAAAAAAATCAATATCAAAACTCCCTAAGCAATCAGCCCAAGAGTCAGTTCAGCAGCCTCGGCTTTTGTAGCTGGAGTCAGTCCGGGCCCTGCCCTCCCAGGCCAGGTGGGAAAAGGCCTGCAAAGCAGGGAGCTGGTCTTCCAGCACTCACAGCCGAGCTGTGGAATGGACATCCTGCGGAATAGACCCTCTGGTGAGATTGTGCCTGCAAGAAGCCCTACCCTGCAGAGTAGCGGCGGCTGTCTAGGGAGTTCAGTTGGGTCCCTGTTATCCGTGATGCCAAAGGTTCAACCAGCGCCCCTAGATATGCTCTGCCACTGAGCCTAAAGCAGATGCGTCTTGCAGGTAGACAGGAGGCAACACAGTTTTGGGGGGTGGGGTGGCAAGAGCTTCTATCACCACATCTAAAGAAAAACCAGCCAGAAAGCTGGATTTGGGGTGAGAGGCCCCCATGGAGACATCATCATCATCATCATACAGTGGACGCTCGGGTTGCAAATGTGATCCATGCGGGATGCACATTTGCAACCCGCAGTGTTGCGCGCATGCGCAGGTTGGGATTCTGCACTTCTGCGCATGCACAAAGCGTGATTTAGCGCTTCTGTGCATGCATGACCGCCGAAACCCGGAAGTGACCCGTTCTGGTACTTACGGGTTTCGGCGGTCCATAACCCAAAAAAACGCAACCTGAAGCGTCTGTAACCCAAGGTATGATAATAATAATCGTAATCATAATAATTATAATAATAGTAAAAAACCTTTATTGTCACTACACCACCTGTGTGCAGTGAAATTAAATGAGCCCCCCCACACACACATACACTCAGTCTTGTTTGCACTCTGTGTGCTTGTCGGAAGTCAATTACACCACTATTATTTTTCCATCCAACAGCCCACGGATAAAAACTGTTCTTTAACCTGTTTGTGCGCTGACTATACTTCTGTATCTCCTGCCCGAAGGTAGGAGATTAAAGAAGTGGTGGCCAGGGTGTGAGTTGTCCCTAAGAATTTTCCTCGCTCTCCTGAGGCAGCGGTCTCCCGCGATGTCATCTAGCGAACTCCGAGGACAGCCCATGATGTCATGTGCGGCCAGCGACTCCTTGAATAGGCCTGAGCAAATAATTCTCAGCACTCGGTCTGATTTATTTCACAGGCCTATTGTAGTTCCCGTTTACTCTGATTCCCACGAAAAGAGCTGGATTGTGCTTTATTAGCATCACTGGTGTCTCACTTTGTGAACAAGTTCCCAAGCTGCGTTTGTCAGATACGGGGCACTTAATTCTTGGAACTGCTTATTCTGATAATTGGGTTAGCCAAAATTTAAAACCTTGGCTCAGCCTCGGAAAATCTTAAATGGCACCTGAGGATATTTTCCTCTTGGTTGTCGAATTCCCTCTATGCCCTGCAGCCCCTTCCTATGTTGCCTTCAGGCAAACCACAAACAATTCTATCCGCCTCAGTCCTTCTTGCCTCCATCTGCAGTATGGGGATAAAAAATACTGACCTACATTATGAAGCTTGCTGTAAGGGGGACTGAAATAAACCTTAACAATGCGAAGCGCCTGGAATATTCCAATGTCAGGTGTCAGTTCTAAATGATGCAATGTATTTATTTCAACAATTTGTATACCACTTACTCACAGTTGTCTCGGAGTAGCGTACTGGTGAGCCAATACAATAAGACAAAAATTTCTTAAAATCTGAATTCAGTTAAAATGCCTGCCAAATTTTTTATTTTAAAAAAAAGTAAGTTTTGAAGGTGCCGCATTTGTAAGAACTCGGTCATTTAGTGCTGCGGTGCCTAAACTTTGGACCTCCCTGCCTGGTGAGACCTTCCCCATGCTCTTTTCAGCACCTGCTAAAAACATTATTAGAAACAAGCTTGGAAAGTTGAGGAAATTTTAATCTGTCTCAGTATTTTAATTTTTGTATGTTTTAAAGTATGGCTGCACATTTTTCTTGGTTTTATTGTTTTCTCTTTTTGAAACCACTTTGAGGTTGTGTGTGTGTGTGGTTCTTTTTTACAATCAAGCAGTGTATAAATTTTACAAAATAAAATAAATAAACAGGGAGGGGGTTCCGTCTGACCTCAACTGGAAGGGAGTTCCACAGAGCTCCTGCTGGTTATGAGCTGTGCATTCAAGCCATGGGGAACCACTAGCAGTTACTCCTAAAATTTCTTCTTCATCATCATCATCTTCTTCTTCTTCACAGCATTGGGGCAGTATTTGCCTGTAAACTGGATTTAGGTCCAAAGCAGAGGTGCAGGTGTGGCCAGATCCATGTGTTTAAACCAGACAGGAAGTGGGGAGGGTGACTGATTTAAAGATCAATGGGCTGGGCTTCTTTCAGCCTCTGCTCAGGACTTAAAATACCCCAGGTGGGGCTGCCCCAACAGTTCTCTCAAGTTACTAGTGGTCCCTTTAGGAGCTGGTTCTCATGGGCTCCAAATCTTGGGCTTCACCCCCCCCCTTCTTAGAAGTCGTAAAGGTAAAGGGACCCCTGACCATTAAGTCCAGTCATTACCGACTCTGGGGTTGCGGCGCTCATCTCGCTTTATTGGCCGAGGGAGTCGGAGTACAGCTTCTGGGTGATGTGGCCAGCATGACTAAGCCGCTTCTGGCGAACCAGAGCAGCGCACGGAAACGCCGTTTACCTTCCCGCCAGAGCAGTACCTATTTATCTACTTGCACTTTGACGTGCTGTCGAACTGCTAGGTTGGCTGGAGCAGGGACCGAGCAACAGAAGCTCACCCCGTTGCGGGGATTCAAACCGTTGACCTTCTGATCGGCAAGTCCTAGGCTCTGTGGTTTAACCCACAGCGCCACCCGCGTCCCTTCTTAGAAGTCTTACATAAATGCTATTGCTAGTGTCACAACTCTGAAACCTTTCTTTTTCTTTTAAAGGACAAAAATTCCCCAAGTCATTGGAAATTTCCCTTTCTGGAACTGTGACTTTTGGCACCTTGAGTCAGGAGCAGCAGATTGACCCTGTGTGCACTGGAAACACCACTTACATCAAAGTAAGTCGTCAGCTTCAAGAGAAGCTGGGTCTTAATCGTGCAGTTGTGTGTCGCCATCGCCCCCCCCCCCCCCCAAAATGGACGGACTTGCGCACAGTTTTCATCAAGAAACTTTGTAAGGGCCTTCAACCTGCATATGGGTGGATGTTAGAAAACAAGAGGGACATTGGCATTTTCCGTTCCTGTCATCCAAGTCTACTCACTTATGTGCAGGAATACCAAAACAGTTCAAGGGGTGTGAGAGCCTTCACTAGCTGTAGGAAGTAACCTCCTTGTGCAAAGATTAAGTAAAGGTAAAGGGACCCCTGACCATTAGGTCCAGTCGTGACCGACTCTGAGGTTGCGCGCTCATTTCGCTCTATAGGCTAAGGGAGCCGGCATTTGTCTGCAGACAGCTTCCGGGTCATGTGGCCAGCATGACTAAGCCGCTTCTGGCGAACCAGAGCAGCACATGGAAACGCCGTTACCTTCCCGCAGGAGCGGTGCCTATTTATCTACTTGCACTTTGATGTGCTTTTGAACTGCTAGGTTGGCAGGAGCAGGGACCGAGCAATGGGAGCTCACCCCGTCGCGGGGATTCGAACCGCCGACCTTCTGATCGGCAAATCCTAGGCTCTGTGGTTTAACCCACAGTGCCACCCGCGTCCCCGTGCAAAGATTAGATACACCATATTTTCACGTGTATTAGACGGGTTTTTTTGACTCAAAAATCATGTCAAAAAACTAGGGTCGTCCAATACACGGATAGTGGCATTGGGGGCGGGGGAGAAGCGGCGCACCAGCCAGCCGGTTGGGAGCGCAACTTCCTCCGATGTCGCTGTGCGCGGGAAATGATCTAGGGAGTGTTTCCTGCCCGCAGCTGCGTGGGGGGAGAAGCTCAACAACCTTGGGCCATCTCCTCTCATTTTCTTAAAATTGAGTCCTCAAAAATAGGGGCGGTGTCTTATACATGGGGGCGTCGTATAGACGGAAAAATACGGTATATTCTACCTAGTCGATGGGGACAGGGAGGTGTTTGAGCAGACATGAGGATCTGTACATCTTACTGTTTTCTGCTTGGCTGCGCTTAGCTTTATTTTAGAATCCTGGATTTCACGCTGACCGGATGTTACACAGACCAGCATTCCATCCAGGTCTTTTCCTCAGGAAAACCAAAGATCAGTACAGGTGAGCAGGGTCACATCTGCCGCTGGTTTTACGTTAAAACAGAAGGACACCTTTAGCAAGGTGTAAATAGGTGAACTTGCCCTGGGGCCTCCATTTCAAAATTACGTTCTGCAGAATTTATCATTATTGTTATTAATTAAATTCTACACCACCTGTCGTGCGATAATCACGGTGCAGTTTGCCGTATAGAAACACAAAAATGCGACAGAAACAATCACACACACACAGTTTAAAAGGCCATAGATTTAATTAGAAAAGGAAGGTTTTTGCCCATCGCTTAAAGATATATAATGAAGGTGCCAGGCGAACCTCCCTGGGGAGAGCATTCCACAAGCAGGGAGCCACTGCAGAGAAGGCCCCGTTCTTGTGTTGCCACCCTCCTGACCTCTCGAGGAGGGGCCACACGAAGAAGGGCCTCAGGTGTTGATTGCAGGGTCTGGGTTAGTTCATATGGGGAGAGGCAGTCCTTAGGTATTGCGGTCCTGAGCCATTTAAAGCTTTATAGGACAAAGCCAGCACTTTGAATTGGGCACCTGCCACCCATCTGGTCTAGGGAACTGCCCACTAACAGAGCTGCAGCCTTACCTGGATTGAGCTTCAGTTTGTTGGCTCTCATCCAGTCCCATTACCAAGGAAAGACACTAGTCCAGCGCTTCCACTGCCTCACCTGCAGATGTAAAGGAGAAATAGAGCTGTGGACCATCAGCATATTGCTGCCAACACGCTCCAAAATGTAGCTTTCAACTATATGATTTAGTTATTATGTCTAGTATAAACATGTTTTTTTAAATGATGAAATTACAATCTCAAATGTAATTTTAATCATTTGTGCTTTTGTGTGTTTTGAGATACTGTATAGTAGCTTATTTCTCTCTCTCCCCCTCTGTGTGTGTGTGTGTTTATTTTAATTTCAGCTCGAGAATTGCTTTCTTCAGATTACTACATCTGGAATTCCAAAGCCCCGGCACCTGTAGTGTATAGAACTTTACTTTTCTAATTTCCCCTCAATTTTGTACTTGAAATGGGAAAAAAGTACTGAAATGTTTTAACTGATCTGTTCATTATTTAAGACCGTGTTTGAGGGGAAACAACAAACATCCTTATTTCGCTTAAGCGTTGTTTATTGTTTTGTGAGCCCACACACCCCTTTCGTAGCTACCTGTAGTCAATGACATTGTAGGCTTTCTTTCACCACCAACGCATCCTCAGTGGTCTGCAACTGGTCCTCCTGCCTTTCTAGAAATCTAGATATAGGAATGCTGTGGAGTAAGATCTTTATTGGGGGGGGGCAGGCTCTTGCAGGTGCTGTGGACCTTAGTCTTTTTAACCTCCTGTTGAGGACAACCATCTCTTCCCTTTGGCCAAGCCCATTTGTAAAGAAACCTGTATGAAGTAATACTGTTTTTAAAGTAACTCCGTGTGCGTGCAGAGTGCCTTTCACTCGCCACTGAGCAACTGCAGTCTGGCGCTGTACCACTGGAATTCTAGAGGTGGCCTTCCTTCCAGGGCTGTTCATCCATTAGGAAAAACAGAGCAAAGTCTTTGATTCACGGCTCGATTCGTGCTTCTTGAAATGGATCTTTAAATCTGCAAGCCTAAAGGTAACACTACAAGCCTATTACATTAGTCGGTGCAAGTTGACAAGGGGTGAAATCCTTTTCCAAAGGTCACGGTGCAGCTTACAGCATAAAAACACAGAATGCATAGCATAATGAGAAACAGTTGCCCCCCACCCCATTTAAAAGGCCATAGATTGTCAGATTCTGCTACAAAACATTCTGACCACCTTTAACAGGTTCCAAGCTCCTCTTCCATATAAACCCAGAAAGCAGAAGAACAAACTATTCCAAATTTAGTGGAACAGAGAAGTCACAAAAGCTGCATGCTAATTCTGCATTTTTTAAAAAAAAATACTCACTGGTATCTTCAGGAATACAGGAAACGGTTTCAGCAGGCTGTAGGGATAAATGGGCAAAATTACGAAAGGTGGGGGAAAACTTTGGGACCCTGGAGAGTAGCACAAAAGGAGAGACAAAATGCACCTTTCATCACCAAGCACAATGGCCTGACTTTTGTTTAACTGTGTTGCTGTGTGATAAATAAGATCAGTGATTGTGTATGGGGAGAAGTTTCAAAAACTATAATTTGAAATACTGCTCAGGTTGAGATACCAATCTGACGGCTGGTTCAGCATCATAAAGAGGAGATTGATTAGCGCAAGCCATGATGCTCAGCCAAAAAAAGACTGCCTGGCAAAACCTCTGAAAGGACAGCCAGGGTGTGCTGAAATTAAAACCCCCTGTTTCTCAAAGATACCATCTAGGAGATACCACCTGTATGCAGACATTAGTTTGCTTCTTGGTAGTTAGAATATGCGTGTATAACACTGTGTACGCACATGAGGACAGAAGAGCCTGGCCTCACTGCCTTCTGGGGGAGAGAGTTCTGTGAAGAAGGACTTTCTGTTATCTGTCCCGAATCATCCATCATTCAACTCCCATCGGATGTCCCTAGTGTTACGAGACAGGGAGAAAAACGTGACCCACTTTCTTCACATACAGTGGAACCTAGGTTTTCGAACGTATTCCATTCCGGAAGACCGTTCAATGTTCCAAAACTAAGGATCAATGAGGTGGCTGCAAAGTCGGGGGGGAGGGGAGAAAAACGCACCTCAAAAGCTGTTCGACTTCCGAGGCGCATTTGAAAACGGAAGTAATTACTTCCGGTTTTCCAGCATTCGGGTTCCGAATTGTTTGGCTTCCGAGACGCTCGAAAACCAAGGCTCCACTGTACAAGGTGCAGATCAGTTGCTAAATGGCTCCTGGACTGGGCCACTGCAGGTGGCCGATGTTCCAGGTGCTGCCATAGGAACACTAGAAGCTGCCTTCTACTGAGTCAGACCCTTAGTCCACCTAGCGCAATATTGCCTGCGCTGGCTGGCAGTGGCTATCCCGGAGGCAAGGCATGCTTCTCTCCCATCCCTACCCAGAGACTGAACCTTGGACCTTCTGCAAGCCAAGCAGGTGCCCGGCCACCAAGCCACAAATCTTCCCCTTCTCTTGGCTCCGACGCCCTTCCTCAGCTTTGCCGCACTGGCTTCGAAAGCGATTGGCCAAAGTAACGCAGAGGCGAAAGAAGTCTGGGAATGAGCAGCTGATTCCCCAGGAGAAGAAATCAGGGGTGCGCAGGAGGAAGAAGGAGACTCCCCGTCGGTCGGCGCCAAGCAGACTGAGACGCCTGTTGGGAGGGGAAAGTCCATTGCTCTCTGCGGTAAACTCTCCTCCCGTCGCAGGACAAAGGCAGCTCCCCTGTGTGCATTCCAAGGAGATCAGCTGGACATCCCAGCGCTGCTTTTGATTCCGTCTAGAAACCTATCTTTTCAAGATAATTTCTTTCACAAAACAAAGTAAGGGGGGGCGGTTGGGGTGGAAGACAAAAGTCTGTTTCCCATTTGGTAGGTGACCTGTTTAATGTTTTCTCTGTGTCTGGGAACTCCTTAGTGTAATTAGGGACCTTTGAACTCCCCAACTAATCCGGAGCTATTTTGTATTCCTGACTCATCTTGAAGGCTGGACCTTTCTTTTCTTCCGAGTCTGCTGCCACAATTAAAGAAGAAACAGCTGCATTTCAAAGAGATTCCAATTCCAGAAGCTAAATCGTGATTGACACGTTCTTATTCTAAGCTATAAGAAACTCGTAAGAGTCCTTTCTTGGGTTAAAACTTCAATCACTTTCTAAAAAATTATCTCAATATGGATTTTATTCATTTTCTTTGATAGCCATTCTTTGCAGAGATACACACACACACACACACACACACACACACTGCGTTGGTGGCGAATATGAACTGCTAGCATAAGGGTGTCTTGGGACCCTGAGCCATCTTCTAGAGACAGCAATGGGCAAATTCTGTTTAGTGTCAAAAATTACGATTAGGGAATCAGACACCTGCCACATAGCCTAGCATGGTTCCAGACAGCCAAAAGATGAAGGAAGTGGGACGTTCTTGAAGTCAGACGGCGAAGGCTTGTCATCAACCCAACAGTGAAAGCCGCCAATCGGAATTCACATTTTTACCAGTTTAGGAATGTATAGTCTCTTATTCCAGTTTAGCATAACTTCCTTCGGTTCCTTAACCCAAGGAGCAGTAGTTTTGCAAAAATGCAAATTATTAGTCATTAATCCCCCCCCCCCAAAAAAAAATCTCTGAATGTCTGCTTTGAAACAGCTAGCAAAATACATAAGGTTTTGAGATAACGCTGGCAGCCGTTTTCTGGAACAGGAAGCAACACAGGTGGCCAAACTGAACAGTTGGAAGTAAGGAATTGTGGAAATAGCCAGGATCCTTAAATGGCTGCTCTGGGTTTACTAAAAAAACAACCTTTTACAGAATGTGCAGCCAGAATCCAAATGCATAAAATTCACTTGAGTTCAATTTCCAGATTTGTTTTGGGCAATGCAGATGCTTATTTAAGATCCGGGGGGTAGCTGTCCACATGCTGCTGTTCTGCTTTCGGCTTGCAGTGTCTCAAAAGGAGCTTGCCTAAGGGAGAAAATTAACTAGCCTGCAATCCTATACTCGCCTTCAGCAGGACGTACTGTGTAGACGTGTATAGAACTGCACTGTTAGCTTTTAATTTTAGTATTGCATTTATATCACGCCCTTCCTGCAAAGAGCATACATGCTTCTCCCCTGCCCTCTCTATTGTACCCTCACAACATCCCTGCGAGGTTGGCTAGGCTGAGAGATAGTGACTGGCCCAAGGTCACCCAGTGAGCTTCATGGCTGAGCGGAAATCTGAACACTGGTACAGTGGTGCCCCGCAAGACGAACGCCTCGCAAGACGGAAAACTCACTAGACGAAAGGGTTTTCCGTTTTCTGAGCTGCTTCGCAAGACGAATTTCCCTATGGGCTTGCTTTGCAAGACGAAAACGTCTTGCAAGTTTGTTTCCTTTTTCTTAACACTGTTAATACAGTTGCGACTTGACTTCGAGGAGCAACTCATAGAACGCAGTGTACATAGTAGCCTTTTTTGAGGTTTTTAAAGACTTTGGTGATTTTTGAAGCTTTTCCAAAACTTCTTTTGCAGCCATTTGGTAAGTTAAGCTTTTAAAACTTTTGGGGGGCTTTGGATTTTGGGTTGGGGTGTTTGGAATTCAAGGACTTGGTGTTGGGGAGGGGTTTGCAAGAATCTGGAAGCTTGTTTTTTTCCCCTGCATTTTTATGATTTTCTGTGACCATTGGGCAACTCTGCTGTTTTTTAAAAAAAATTCTGGGTTTGAATTTTGAAATGCTCTTTACAGTATGTGTGACTTTAAAGAGCACTTAATAAACTCTTGTTGTACCAAATTTGGCTTTGTTTGGACTTTTTTTGACCATAGGAACGCATTAATTGATTTTCAGTGCATTCCTATAGGATTTCGTGCTTCGCAAGACGAAAAATTCGCTAGACGAAAAAATTCGCGGAACGAATTAATGTCGTCTTGCGAGGCACCACTGTACCTCCCAGGTCTTATTCCAGCACTCTAACCACTGCACCACACTAGGTCTATAATTACAATTTCTTTTTTACAGTCTTGCATGCATTAGGTTTCTCTGAGTTGCTTCTGCAGTAAATTGATCTATGTCAAGACTCAGCAAAGTTCCATTTCACCGTTTGGCTGCAGGGCAAGTCCGATTGCTTTGAGATGTTTGTGAGAAGCAGCAATAGGGAACATTTTTAGGCCCGCAGGCCGGATCCTGATCACGATCAGCCTCGCAAGCCAAAGTTTTATCATTGGGCGCCTGTCAATCACCCGCCATCACAATGAGATCCAGTGCAGCTAGAAGATTCTTGTGTTGGTTGCAGAATTTTGCAGAATCCCCTAAAGGGGGGGGGGTTCCCTCCTTTGAAAAGGATCAGAAATAGAATTTCTAGGTATTCTGTCATGGTTATATCAATGATGAGTACATTTGTTCACCGCTTTTTACAAAGCATCTCTAAGCGACTTACAGAAAATTTTGAAAAAAATGCAGAATGCACCAAACATTTACAATCCGAAACACTTATCTAATACATTGGGGGGGACCCGATAAAAAAAATAAGAATGCCTTTCTATGGCCGCGATAGACCCACACGCAAACACCTTTTATGATCTCCTCCAGACACATTTGGAAGAATGAAACCCATGAGAATGGAAAGATGGTAAAGAAGCCAGGATGTTGCCCTTACCCTGATTCAGACCATTGTTCCATCTAGCTCAGTATTCACTACACTGCACTGGCAGCAGCACTTCTAGCCCTGGAGACCTGGAGATTCTTGCGATTACACCTGGGATGTTTGCATGCTGGGCAGATGCCCAACCACAGCTTTCCCCTTGAAGGAAGCTACTTTATCCTAAGACCAATTGGTCCACCGAGCTTAGTCTACACTGACTGGCAGAGGCTCTCCAGGAGGAGTCCAGGCAGGGGGCATTCCCAGCCCTACCAGGAGAAGCCAAGGGATCAACACATATTTCTAGAAAGCCTTTGGGAAACCCCAATGCCTATGGGCAGCAATCATGAACTATTACCATTTAATGCACATACTGGACTAGACTTCCTAGTTTCAGAAGCTTTTGGCCTCTTCATACCTTCCAGATGTAAATATTTACAACAAGAAGGAATCTTGCGGCACCTTAAATGCAAACCCCTTTATTCTGGGGTAAGCTCTCATAGACTACAGTCCACTTTTGTTGTCGTTTAGACGTTTCCGACTCTTTGTGACCCCATGGACCAGACCACGCCAGGCACTCCTGTCTTCCACTGCCTCCCGCAGCTTGCTCAAACTCATGCTGGTAGCTTTGAGAACACTGTCCAACCATCTCGTCCTCTGTCGTCCCCTTCTCCTTGTGCCCTCCCATCTTTCCCAACATCAGGGTCTTTTCCAGGGAGTCTTCTCTTCTTATGAGGTGACCAAAGTATTGGAGCGTCAGCTTCAGGATCTGTCCTTCCAGTGAGCACTCGGGGCTGATTTCCTTCAAAATGGAGAGGTTGGATCTTCTTGCAGTCCATGGGACTCTCAAGAGTCTCCTCCAGCACCACAATTCAAGAGCATCCATTCTTCGATGATCTTGATGGTTCAGCTCTCACTTCCATACGTCACTACTGGGAAAACCATAGCTTTAACAATACAGTCCACTACATACCCTCTTTAAGTCTCCTCACCAACACCCCGTAGCTAAGGAGTGAAATAAATCAATGCCCAGGATCACTTAAGCAGGATCTTGCTCACCCTTCGCAGTGAGTAAGTCCTATGGTTCTCAGTGGGGCTCACTTCAGAGTAGGCACACATAGGATTGCACTGGGTTGAATTATGATCTGGGCAAATCTGCCCCTCCCAAGCCCAGGATAACCTTGGGTGAGCATAACAGGGTGCATCAAGTTTGTGGAGTTTGGAACCCTACCGTGGGTGTGTACAGACAGACAGATGATTCTTAATAAATCTTGATTTCAAATTTAAGAACTGGTTGGTCATATATTCATAGAATTGTAGAGTTGGAAGGGACCCCAACCCCAGAAAATAGCAAGTCATCCAGTTCTTGGTAGGGCTGCCCTCCACTGTGTTAAGATTGGATGATCGGCCTAAGCAGAGGTTGGGTGGCCATCAGTCATGTATGATCTAGGCAGTTATCTTTCCACAAGGGCCAACATTGATGCCGAAATCCATCATCTCCTGAGCTCTGCAAGTACAGCTTTCTCCTGACTGAAGTGCAGAATGTTTGAGGACCAGGACATTCACAGCGAAACCAAAATGCTTGTTTACAAAGCTATTGTACTATCAACCTTACTATATGCTTGTGAAACATAGACCACTTATAAACGCCAACTCCTCGAAAGATTCCATCAACGGTATCTCTGAAAAATTTTACACATCACTTGGGAAGACAGGCGAACTAATGCCAGTGTACTGGAAGAAGCAAAGATCACCAGTGTTGAAGCAATGATTCTTCAACATCAACTTCGTTGGACTGGTCATGTTGTGCGGATGCCTGATGATCGTCTTCCAAAGCAACTACTCTATTCCAAACTTTAAAATGGAAAGCGTAATGCTGGTGGTCAACAAAAGAGGTTTAAAGACTCTCTCAAGGCAAATCTAAAAAAATGTAGTATAAACACTGAGAACTGGGAAACACTGGCCTGCGAGTGCTCCAGTTGGAGAACAGCCTTTACCAAAGGTGTCATGGACTTTGAAGACGCTCAAACTCAGGACGCAAGGAAGAAACGTGCTAAGAGGAAGGCACGCTTGGCAAACCCTCACTGTGATCAACTCCCGCCCGGAAACCAATGTCCCCACTGTGGAAGGACGTGTGGATCCAGAATTGGCCTCCACAGTCACTTATGGACTCATTGTTAAAACCGTATTTATGGAAGACAATCTTACTTGGCTATGAGGGATCGCCAAAGAAGAAGAGTTTCTTGCACTGCAGGGGGATGGACAGGAAGAAGAAGAAGAAGAAGAAGAAGAAGAAGAAGAAGAAGAAGAGGAGGAGGAGTTTGGATTTGATATTATCACTACCCTAAGGAGTCTCAAAGCGGCTAACATTCTCCTTTCCCTTCCTCCCCCACAACAAACACTCCATGAGGTGAGTGGGGCTGAGAGACTTCAGAGAAGTGTGACTAGCCCAAGGTCACCCAGCAGCTGCATGTGGAGGAGCGAGGAAGCGAACCCGGTTCACCAGATTACGAGACAACCGCTCTTAACCACTACACCACACTGGTTCTCTTTCTGGCACAGCACATGTGTGACGTTGCATGCATGCATTGTATGTAGCAACACCGCAAATGCGCTGTATAGCAGTTTGCCACCAGCGCCACTCCAGTACCGTACAGATGGTGCTGGGATCCTCTGCTTGCAGCTGCAGCCGTGAATGGAGGATCATCCATTCGCGGCTGTAGCAGCGACAAAGGGATCCCGGCACCGTCTGTACAGCACTGGAGCGGCGCCGGCGGCAAACCGCTATACAGCACATGTGTGGCGTCGCTACATACGGCACATGCATCGCACATAGCGATGCCGCACACGCGCCCTACGTAGCGACGCCCACCCTGGGTGTCACTACACCTTCCTTTCCCCCTGGCTCTACCCCCCGAATAACAGACCTTTCCCAATAAGAGTTGAAATAGCTTCATCATACCAGGCCAAACCTCATTTGACTCAAGTGTTGCCTTCTCTGACTGGCAGCTGCTCTCCCATGTTCCAGGCAGGGGATATTCCTGAACATGAGAAGAGGCTGCTGGATCAGGCCAATGGCCCTATCTAGTCCAGCATCCTTGTTCGCAGAGCGGTCAGCCAAATGCCTCGTGGAAACCCGCGGATGCAAGATTTGCCTCCTATAGAAGCCCTGCTGCATCCATCTCCCAATTCTCCCTTGAAATTCCAGGGACTGGACCAGGGAATTTCTGCATTCGAAAGATGCTCTGCCGCTGAGCTATGGCCCTAGATTACGTATCCCTACACGTCCATGAAGTTCAGTGGGAGAGCTCGACCCAGGCACTCTCTTTCTCTCAGCCTAAACCACATCATTCACTTGCTGTAAGGGGCAAGGGAAAGAGGGAGAGCCTTAGCCAGGGGTCAGCAAACTTTTTCAGCAGGGGGCCAGTCCACTGTCCCTCAGATCTTGTGGGGGGCTGGACTATATTTTGGGGGGGAAATAAAATGAACGAATTCCTATGCCCCACAAATAACCCACAAATAAAAGCACACATTCCACTCATGAAAAAGCACACTGATTCCCAGACCATCTGCGGGCCGGATTTAGAAGCCGATTGGATTGAATCCGGCCCCCAGGCCTTAGTTTGCCTACTCATGTTATATATTATAAAATGCCAGTCCTAGGAGGCTTCAGAACAGAGTTGCTGCCACAGACATTATATATCAGGGGTCAGCAATTTTTTTCAGCAGGGGGCTGGTCCACTGTCCCTCAGACCTTGGGGCGGGGGGGGGGGCAGATTATATTTTAGGGGAAAAATAAAATGAACAAATTCCTGTGCCCCACAAATAACCCAGAGATACATTTTAAATGAAAAGACACATTCTACTCATGTAAAAACACGCTGATTCCCAGATTGCCTGCATGCTGGATTTAGAAGGCGAGAGGGCCGGATCCGTCCCCCGGGCCTTAGTTTGCCTACCCATGGCCTTAGCTAATCTTTTAGGGAAGGGGAATTCCTGCATCTGGTTCTGGGCACCACAGCTGAAGGAGGACACTGGCAAGCTGGAAGGTGTGCAGAGGTGGTTGATCTGGAAACCAAGCCTGATGAGGAGCAGTTGAAGGAGCTGGCTATGTTTAGCCTGGTAAAGAGGAGACTGAAAGGAGATACAATAGCCGTCTTCAAAGA